GGTCGCAGACACTGCCGGCCTCCCCCCTGGTCTCCGTCCGGTGCGTCCCTCAGGTAAGAGGCACCATTCTGGGCACAAACACGGCCCGGGCACACCTATGACTGGACACAAGCTTTTATTTTGTAGTTTTGGGTAGAGTACGGAGGGGGGGTTCAAACCCCATCAGGTGTTTTTATTCTGTCTGTGAGATTTCACTTCCTGTCCTGGAGACACAACAGGAAATGATAGGAAATCTCACCAAGGTGAGGGGAAGCTTCATCTTAGAGCAGGGGTGGGGAACCTCCAGCTGTGGCAAAACGACAAATCCCATGAGGCATTGCAAGACTCTCACAGCCACAGACATGACCCCCAAAAACAGATGCATCGTGGGATTTGTAGTTTCACCACAGCTGGAGGGCTGGAGGTTCCACACCCCTGAATTAGAGAGTTGTCAACAAAACATTTAGGCTAGGTTCACACCTGCACTACACCGCACCGGTCCTGCACAATGCGGGCAGCGATTGCCCCATTGATTTCAATGGGGTGAAATTTTTGTTGCGCTACGCGACGCGCGGCTGAGGTGCCATTAGAAAGTAACGGCGCCCACAGCGCGATCGGTTCACACCTTGGCGACTCCTGAACGTGCGGAATCGTGCACGATTGCCGTGCGGTGAGGTGTGGCCAAGGTGTGAACCTAGCCTCAAAGATTTCCCCTTACCGTCCTCGTTCTGGTGACAACTGTATAATGTTGGATTTCCCTCCATTTCTGTCTCTGCGGCAATGATCACTGATACAAATGGAGGGACATAGTGATGAAGACACTGGAGGGAGGAGCATGTAAATGTAACCATGGATACCACAGCGATAGCACTAGTTACATTTGTATTCTCACTCCCTCCTGCGATCTCCTAAATTGTAACATTGTATCTCCTTACTATTTCCTGTGATCCTCGGCGCCATCTAGTGGCCATGACGGGGTATTACCCCCAATTCCCTCTGTTCTCTATGAAGGAACCTATTGAAGAACATTCGGCCAGAAGATAAATTATTACTAACAGAACATTCGATTCTTGCCCCATCCTCACAACAGCTGGTGAATTCGCACCAGGAAAGGGAAGACAAGGGGAAGGAGATTGTACGTGTATTGGGGAAGATCGGTCACGTGAGGAGATTTTGGCCGGCCTGAGTGTCCGGAATGTTGCTCCGAATGTTGCCGCGGCTCCAGGGCCCGTAGACAAAACAAGTGAAAAAATGTGCTTTCGGGGCAAGCAAATGGCCGTTTCTGCTCGTTAGTAAACAGATGAGGACAATCATTTTTTGGCTGCAAATCAAAAGTCCAAATAGGCCGTCATGTGTTTGGGGATTTGTTCTGGAAACGATTGACAATAATGTGCTTATGATAGAACATCGGGGAAAGAAGTTTAACCAAAAATGTGTATCGAAACCCAAGAACAAAAATATAATATATTGCCGATTACCGCCGCTTAGATGAGACATCTGCAGTAGTTTTCTTATTTCAGGCTTTTCCCCCTTTATTATCACCTGGTGATCCTGCCAGCAGCACACTTCCTGTCCTAGGGGGTGGCTACGCTCACTCCTCACCTGTATCTCTGGAGGGAGCCATGGTTCTGCAATCTATTACATTGTTATTCCCGGGTATAGTTATTCATTAGGATTCATTTCCATTGTATTGGCGTCTTCAAGGGACACTCCGCTATTGATGTATGATAGTCTTATAAATAGTTACATGTTACAGGCCTCCCATAAATATTTACAAAGTTATGTATACTCGGGAGGGATACACGTCAACTGTTCCGGATTGGCTGGGACAGTTTTGCATCTTGGCCGTCTGTCCTGCCAGTCCCATGTCCCGGGATTACAGCATCAGATGTATTTGAGTTACTGCACATGCGCAAAAGGGCATTAATTACAGGGATCGGGACTGCCAGTGGGTGACCCAAGCATATTTAGAGGCAGTGCCTGGGCAAGTGGGGGGGTCTTGGTGTGAGCAACCCATTATGAGGGGGTGATGGGCAGTCCCACATATTTAGAGGCACGGTCACTCTGTGAGGAGTAAGCATGGAGCCGGCTTCCCGGCCAATCAGAAATCCGGGCGCCGCGTCATTACACGGGCGCAAGGCTTCTTGATTGGCCAGCTTCCCGACCAATCAAGAAACCGGGCAGCGAGTCATTAAACGCTGATCGGCTTCCTGATTGGCCGGAAAGCCGGCTCCCTCGTCGCAAGTGACAAGGGAGCATGGAGCCGCCTTCCCGTCCAATCAGGAAGCTGGGCAGCGTGTAATGATGCGTTACCCGGCTTCCTGATACAGGAAGTATCGGGCTAGGCATCGGAGCATTCCGAGTACTCGCCCAAATACTCGGCAACGATATCGACACTAGTATTGGTATAGGTGCATCCCTAATTCTCACAAAGGAAAAGGGACGTATTTCCACATTCTTGGGGACAGGCACGACGCAGACAACTACACACAGGGGTGTATCTACCACAAGGCAAACTAGGCATTTGCCTAGGGCGGCACTTTCCAGTGGGGGGGGGGCAGAAAATGCCGCCCCAATGAGGCGGACAGGGCTCGGCTTACCTTTGGGCATACTGGGCGCTTGCCCAGTGGGCCAAGGCTGGGCGGCACAGAATCAAGCAGCTGGGGCTTCCTAATGAGGCAAACTAGACGACCGCTCCTAATTAGAGAGCTGCCCGGTGGAGGGGAGGGCCCAGTGAGATGCGGTTTGACTGGCTTTGTACAGGAGGTGGAAAACAGGAAGGGGCGGGGCAAATTTAGATTGAGGGGGGTGCACGAGTTTAGTCTTGCCTAGGGCAGCACAAAACCAAAATACACCACTGACTACACACAAACACACTAAACTTTGACAAGAACATTTTGATACATTTATATAACTATTTTTTATATTTTGTTTCATGCCGTTTATCTTTACGCACATTTTGGGGTTTTATGTAAGAACTGAAGCAATTTTTCTCTTCTGAACTTCCCCAATCATATTTCTTCAAGATAAGAGAATGATATAAAACAAAATCTCATTCTACAAATGTCTGACCAAAGCCCGTCAACACAAGCCAATATGACTTCCAGAATGTAACATTTCCGGCCAGCTTGAAGCTTTGCAATGTGTCGCTGTTATATAAATCAGTAAGAGAAAACTGAATCTGTATCGCGCCACGTATCACATGTTGTATCTCATATTATACCCTGACATACACCGAGTGGCCGGATTATTATATACACTGAGTGGCCGGATTATTATATACACTGAGTGGCCGGATTATTATATACACCGAGTGGCCGGATTATTATATACACTGAGTGGCCGGATTATTATGACCACCTGACGTTTGTAGGCAAATTAGCTATAATTTGGCGCTGAAGTTGCTAGAGGGCCAGACCATTATAAATAGGGGAGCGGGTTGGTTACCACGACAGTGGAAGTGACTTGTTTCTGAAGATACGGGGAAACAACGCGATGTAACAGCCTTTGAACGCGGGATGATTGTTGGCGCTCGGAGCCATGGAGCGAGTGTCAGCAAAACAGCAGAATTAGTTACATGTTCCAGAGGGGCTCATTGTTAAAGTGTTTACAGACCGGACTGTCAGCCGAAAATCTGGGTCTGAACGTATAAATTGTGGCCGTCAGCGACTAGTCAATGTTAGGGCAGAACGGAGAGTGGCAAGACTGGTACAAGACAACAGAAGGGCAACAGTGCCGTGTCAGATTCCTCCCTTAACTTTTCATATCTCGTGGAGTCACGAGGCGGCCCAACGAAGTACTGATGGGGTGGTCATAATAATCTGCCCACTCAGTGTATTGTTCTAGGTTACACGGTGAAGCACCTTTCTCAGTGTTGGCCTCTATCTGACAATAAGTTTTGCATGTTTGTTCAGCAGACCAGCCCACAGACATGAACCGCCCTCCCATAAAAATTGTCAGCGGGATGCCAATCCTGGGACCCTTTGCCGAAAACTGGGCCAACGTTCAGCGTTTCCAGGCCAGAGAAGATGACATCATGATTAACACGTACCCGAAGTCTGGTGAGATACGTTCCTCCAGGTGAACCCTCACATTAAATTAAGAGGAAAGTGTCCGTGTTGCCCTAAGCCCACACAGATATTTCTACCTGTTATGTCGTGAGCAGTGCTGGTTGAGGACTGTGGGACTGGAGACAGACATGGAGTGGTGTGGAACCTTGGTGTCACCGGTGATAGATGTGAGATTCACCAGGGACCTCTGCAAGGAGCTTTGGGCTTTAATGCCTGGCACTCCCAAGTTCAAGTTGTTGGGTCTGCACTACCAGTGACAGTTGGCTGGGTGACCACCAAATACTAGAAAATGGCAAGCTACTATAGTATGCTGAATCCAAAGCAGAGTGATGGAAGTCGGTGCACCTTACTATACAGGTCAATGGATCACTCCAACCAGATTCCTTACTCAATGGTTGTCTACCAGTCTAAGGCAGTTTAGATGAAAGCAGACATGAAATTGGTTGCTAAGGGCTGTGCGTCATGAACAAAGACCCAAGTGGGCCCCTGATATCTAAAATTAGATTCAAGCGGAACTTTTCAAAGAAATACCACATGTACAGTAGATCTCAAATTGCATGTGGAAACTACAAAACATCATAGTGAAAACTTCTATGCAAGTGTTTTGGTGGCCCCCATTCTAGTGGGTCAAAATCCCCTTCGTCCCTTTCTTAAAACTATGCTAGGCAGACACTTTACTATTAGATTGTGCCATTAAATTAATTGTGCAAAGGAAAATTAGGTCATGCAAAGGGGTCTTTGAAAACACAGAAGTCAACCAGAAATTAGGTTAAAACCCTGTCAGGATTTTATTTTTCCATTTGAGTCCCATTGTAGAGATTTCCTTTCACTTCCTGTCCTGTAGAAACAACCGGACGTCAGATGAAATCTGCCCAAAGTGAAGAAAAATCCCCTTTTAGACAGCTGTCAACAACAGCGGGAGCAAGTGTCCCATTGGCAGAATTCACCTCCATTCTAGTTCTGGTGGCATCTAAAGTTTTTTGGGTTTTCTTTCACTTTGAATACCAATGACAGAAGTCTAGAGGAGAACTCTGGCTGGTCGCTCTGGGTTATTGTATTGTGCGTATCTGTGTAATTCCCTATTATGCTATTAGGGTGTATGAATCACTTTTTTCCCCCCCCAGGGACCACTTGGATGAGCGAGATTTTGGATCTGGTCTTTAATGGAGGAGACACAAAGAAGACGGCCAGAGGTGCAATATATGAGCGAGTGCCCTTTCTAGAGTACGCCGTGCCCGGTATGCCCACGGGTAAGTCAGAAATGAACATTATTCTTTATTTTCCTGAGCTAAGAGTCAAACAGGCTTTGCAAAGGTCGGAGGAACCAACCGAAACGGCAAAGCTTGGCACCTCAGTTGTGTCCATTCTATCCCATGATAACATGTTACTAGAACACTGAACTGTGCACTGCAGAGACAACACTTGTCCACAAAGGTCTCCTCGTTCCTATACCCCCCCACCTTTTCTAGGCTGGAAGTCAAAACACTCATTCAATGATGCTGACCTCATACAAAGAAATGTAGGTCACAGAAGGCTCATACACTCCCAGTATAGGGTGATCAGGTATTTGTGGACACTGGTATTGCCGCTGTTTAATAGCAAACGTGATAGTATGTTTGGATGTTGGTTTGAAAGTACCAATACTTTGAGTGTCAGGAAGTGGTGGAGGCGAGAGGTGTACATGGAAATTTACATTTTGTTGCCTCTTCATCTCTAGGAACTGAAAGCTTGGATCCAATGAAGACTCGGCGTCTGGTCAAATCTCACCTACCTGTGGAGCTTGTTCCACAGAGCTTCTGGGAAAAGAACTGTAAGGTGCAAGGCCTGGCGTGATCTAAAACCTATTGCAGAGCTGGTCAAGGCCCTGTTTCTGGACATCCTGGTAGAATCATCAACCTAGAAAGCCTGTTCTATCTCTGTTTCTGGAGATCTAGGCTCATTTTGGAGGACCTGGTCCATTCTTCATTCTGGAGATCCTAATCTATTTCCCATTAGGGAGAGCCTGCGTTATGTCTGATTCTGGACTCTGGTCTGAGCCTGTTCTATTCCTGTTTGGAGAAATCCTGGTCTATTTCTCATTCTGAGGAGTCTGCCCTATCCCTCTTTATTAAGATCTTGGTCTGTCCTTTATTATGGAAAGTCTGTTCTATCCCTTTTTCTGGAGAACCTGTTTTATTCCTCAGTTTGGTGAGTCTGTTCTGTTCCTGTTGCTAGAGATCCGGTTCTATCTCTGTTTCTCCTGTTTGCAGAACCAGGTCTGTCCCTGTTTTTAGAGATTTTGCCCTGTCCCTGTTTTTAGAGATTTTGCCCTGTCCCTGTTTCTAGAGATCCAGGTCTATACCTCATTGTGGAGAACCTCTTCTATCCCTCCTCCTGAAGAACCTGCTTAATCTTGTTTCTAGGGAGCCTGGCCTAACCCTCATTTTGGAGAATCTGTCCTATCCCTTCTCCTGGAGATCCTACCGTGTTTCCCCGAAAATAAGACAGTGTCTTATATTTTTTTTTCACAAAAAAAGACACTAGGTCTTATTTTCGGGGGGTGTCTTATGTGTACCTGGCTGCAGCTGTCCGCTCGTGCGTGCGGATGGGCGTGCGGGAGGGAGCTGCGGCCACTCTCAGCTGTAAAGCCGTCCAGGGAGCCAGACAGGTGGGCGTGCGGGGAGGCGTGCCTGGCGGGGGGGGCGGAATTTCCGGGGTAGGTCTTATATTACAGAAATCCCTGATGATAGCACTAGGTCTTATTTTCGGGGTAGGTCTTACTTTCGGGGAAACACGGTAGTATATCCCTTATTCTGTAGAGCTTATTCAATTCCTGTTTCTGAATAACCTATTTTATTCCTCAGAGTCTGTTCCGTTCCTGTTTCTGGAGGACCCGGTTTCTTCTTCATTCTGGATAGTTTGTTGTGTGCTTGTTTCTGTAAACCCTTGTCTATTCCTCATTATGAAGAGTCTATTCTATCCCTGTTTCTAGAGATCCTGTTCTATCTCTGTTTCTCCTGTTTCCAGAACTTGGTCTGTCCCTGTTTCTAGAGATCCAGCTCTATACCTCATTGTGCTTGGTCTTGTTTCTAGAGAGCCTGGCCTAACCCTCATTTTGGAGAACCTGTCCTTTTCCTTATCCTATACATCTCTTGTTCTGAAGAGCCTGTTCTATCACTGTTTCTGGAGAGCCTGGTCTAATCCTTATTCTGGAGCCTAGTCTATCTTCTATAGTCGAAAGCCATGCCCAGCTCTTCTTCTGAAAGGTCCAATGCACTATTTTTAATAGCTAATGGAGCTTTTATTGTAGGAAGTCTGATCTGTCTATCTTTCTGGAGATCTAGGTCTGCCTGGTGTGGCACTCTTGGTGGAACGCCTGATCCATCCCTTTCTATATAATTTGATCTGGATGGAAGGCCCTGTCTGTCTCTATGTTGTGGAGTCTGATCAATCTCTGGCAAGCCTGATGTAGCCATCTCAAAGATTTGGAAACAAGTACAGATAGAATTTAGCAGCACAATGGGGCAGAATATGGGAAAACATTATTATATAATCTCCTATAACCTGTAGAACGAGACAGAGGCCAGTGATGGATGGTTCTCTTGGTCTGCTCAGCTCATTTACTGCAGCTCTCGGGGTATAATGAGTGGAGTGTCAGTGTTTATTTCTCTTATTACAGAATTCAGGTGCTCATCGCCACAATCTGGTTTTATGTTACCGATTCCTTTCTATCTCTGTGCAGGTGATCTGTGTAGCGCGCAACCCTAAAGATGTGTTGGTGTCATATTATCATTTCTATCAAATGGCCATTGTTCACCCGGATCCTGGGACTTTCGAGGAATTTTTTGAAGGCTTTATGAAGGGGACAAGTATGTATTTCTTCGAGTTTATACCTATTGTGGTTAGATAAGGTGCTTAACAGGATGTTCGGTGTTAGGGGAATGCTGGAGAGGAACCCACTAGCCACTATAGGGGGAATGTCAGGGTGGGTAATAAGCCAGGGTCCATCTCCTCCTCTCTATCCACAGCCCTTGCTTCAAATTGCTTGGGGCAACATGCTTGATTTAAGCAATCAATGGAAAATTAATCAATTAGATGTATTATGCATCAGTGGTATCAACACTTTAAATTGTGCTTACAGTTAGACTTTGTTGAGTTCATGTGAAGAAAGGGAATGATAATCCTATACTGAATATTTATAGTTATGTACTTCACTTCCCTAAAATCTTGTCCATATCTTCCTACTAGGGATGTCCCGATGCCACTTTTTTAAGACCAAGTACAAGTACTTTCCCGCAGGTACTTGCCGATACCAATTACCGATACTACTGGTCCTCCCCTGTTAGTAGGCATTGGGATCCCCCAGCTTTGGACACTGGGGCAGTCACTCCGGTAGTTCTACCTGTGGGGCTGTCCATGGCTGTGCCTGCACCGGGAAGGAGGAGGATATAAAGAACCAGGCAGGCACTGCCATGGACAGCTACTTGCAGGTCACCAGCAAGCTGCTGAGGTCCCCACAAGCGCATATGCTCAGCAGCTGCTGCGATTTAAAAATGTACCGGTATCTGCCTTAAGAATCGGGGCATTTTCACAAGTACAAGTACTTGTGAAAATGCCTGGTATCGGCCCCGATACCGATACTAGTATCGGTATCTGGACATCCCTACTTCCTACTATGCTCCATGTTTCTTCCTAGGAATAACTTGCCCTATTATCAATCTTTAGGATAGAGAGAAGGGAGGAAAAGGGGATTTGCACTTTATTTAGGCCCCTATTCTGTCCATCTCCTGTCAGTCAAAATATGTCTGAGTTATTATTATTGGTAATTATATAGTGATGACAATTTCCGCAGTGCTTTACATAGAGCACATTCACTTCAGTCCCTGACCTGAAGGAGCTTACGATCTAAGGTCGCTATCTCACATGAATACATATGGGGGGCAATTTAGAAAAGAGCCAATTAGCCTTCCAGCATGTCTTTGGAGTGTGGGAGGAACCAGAGTACCCAGAGGAAACCCACACAAGCACAGGGAGAACATGCAAACTCCTTGTAGATAGTGACCTGGCTGGGATTCGAACCAGTGCTACAAGGCACAAGTGCTAACCACGACGCCTCTGTGCTGCCCATTTAAGCCCTATTAGATTTGTAAATCACAATTGGGACTCTCAACAAAGAACTACACCCAACATGTTTCATCCAACTTCAGATGCTTCATCGAGGAGAAAATTAATTTTAAAAAAACATAGCCAAAAAAAGATGGCCACAATAGTTCAAAAACAAAGCAAAACAACATTTGAATTACTTGAGGACATCTCAGCATTGGATTATATAAAGCCATCATAGGATTCAGCATCCACATAAAACTGAACCACATATTCTAACTGGTAGTGATCTGAACATGTCCTCTATTGCAGTTGCGTTTGGCTCCTGGAGCCAGCATGTAAAGGGCTGGTGGAAGATCAGAAAGCAAAGAAACGTTCTCTTTCTTTTCTATGAGGATATGTTGGAGGTGAGATATTCTTCTAAACGGGGATAAGAAGATAGGAGAAATGGACACTTCACTTAATCCTTAGTGAACAGGTTCACTTCATGCCACCGTCACAGGCCACCTGGTCCTCCTAAACAGCCCTATGTATAACAATTCTTACCTTCAATCAGCTGATCTTTGGGTTTCGGTGCTATGGTATACCACCAATCACTGCTCCTCTTTTGTAGGAGGTGGCACTCCGCACATGTATGACCATGTGGCTTGGGGAGATGTTGAGAGTTGGAGACCTTTGGCTAAGTGCTGGTTGTATCATTGCTGGTGGGTTCAATCACATTCTAGCTTCTTATATCCTCCACAGACTCCAGCCTTTGAGTTTTCCCCAAACAATTAATTTTTTTCTCCAAAACTGCCAGATCCTCACACCTCAACTTGGAGTTTGATGTGTTCCCTCCCACTTTGGGGGTGTTCTAATTTTACCTATTGGATTCTTATGACATAAAACAGATTACAAATCCTGCAGGGAGCGAAGGAACCCCTTGGCAATGGCCACATAAGATGTGGAAATCAACTGAGATCTCAATAACTGAATCCTGACTTTAGAGACCTTAAGAGGTTGTTTGACTCTCCACTATGTACCAAAATCTCGAATATTAGCTGTGGGGGGACTAAGCTCTTTCATATCTGACTGGAGTACAAGCTAAGAAAATGCCTAGTGTTGCTTGAAAATGCATTTTTGTGAATTAGAATATGCTTAACTGGTAGTTTATTGGAGAGATTTATCTCCCTATTGTAAGATACTTTTGATTGCCTCAGGGATGAAGTTCCTAAACGGCAAAGAAGAGTGAATAGGACAAAAAATGTTCAAGTGATAGACATGTTCCCCCATTGAACAATGGACATTGTAGATCAATGAATGAAGTATAATGTCATTGCTTGAAAGGTTTTATTTTGAATCTCGAAAACCTGACACCTTCAAGATTATTTTTACAGCCACAGCCGTTCCTTATGTTGGCTGCTCATCTTCCTTGTGGTTGGTAGATTTCAGGAGTCCTAGATAAGTACTTTAGGAATGTATCATTCTTGTCCGCTAAGACCACGCTCATTGTCTTCATCTTCTTCTCTCTGGGTGAAGGATCCAAAGCGTGAAATCAAGAAGGTATTGAAGTTCATAGAGAAGGACGTTCCAGAAGATGTTCTGGAGAAGATCCGCCAGCACACCACGTTCAAGGCTATGAAGGAAAACAAAATGTCCAATTATTCCACCACGCCCTCATCAGTCATGAACCATGACATCTCTCCTTTTATGCGGAAAGGTATAGACCCCCCACCCCACTCCCGTCCAAATCCTAAATCCAGTAATCTGGGACCTACTAGAGCCCTGTCCTACAACGGCCGTTAGAATGTCATGTATGTTTTAGGAGTGTACAGGGACTCCATTGTTTGTTTATAGTTGTTTTTTTTTACATAAAGATGAATTGAATTACTTTGTTAAGTTTCAAAATATAGTTTGTAATTATTTTCATACAAAGAGTACAACAATATCACCTTATAACATACTGTATGTTGCACTACTACAGGGTCATGTGAGATGCCCCCCAAGTGGTCTGGTGTACACTCCTAATGCACTTGAGTGAAAGCTCCATGGTCACATCAACTTTCAGGGCTGGATCTTTAGCATGTAGTCAACACAGTGGCACTAGTTAATTTAGTAGATTCATTACTCTGGGGCAGTGGCTCTCAACCTGTGTAACCTCAGGACCCACATTTGTCCTTGGTCATTAAGTCGCGACACAATGTAATCACGGCACTGCAATGGAATGTATGGCATTAGGGTACCGCGCGTTCCGGTGCGGCCGTTCGAACTGTGGGTAGAAGGTGAGTTTGGGAAACCATTCAAAAGAATGCCAACACACACCTCCCGCACCAGAATGCACGGTAGGGGCAATTGCATTGCAAAAAAATGTGTACTTTAAAAAAAAAAAACTATTTTAAGATCCACCCAGTCTTCTCACCTTACGAGAACTGGAGAGGATCCTTAGCCTGGGGTCCAGTGGGGGCTGCTGTGCTGTGACGGAGCTCCAACCATATGCGCATGGCTTGTACAGCTCCTTGCCCTGTAGAGGTGACGGGAGCCAGAATGTGATGTCACTCCGGTCCAGGCACATCTACAGGACATGTGAGGGAGCTGTAAGCAATGCACGTTTGGATGGAGCTTCCTTGTGGCCATACCTCCAGCCCACCTCAGGCTCACACTCGGAGCTGGGCAGCATATTTTGACTGGCTGCTTGGAGCTAGTACTGACAGTGCTGCACTATCAGACGGCAGAGAAGCCTCTCACCTAGAAAAGTGGAAGGCACGCGGTGACCCACTGAACGAGAGGTTGTTGCGACCCACTTTTGGGTCACGACCCACCAGTTGAGAACCAAGGCTCTAGAGGATGTAGGTGAGGGAAGAGTATACCAGACAACACAATAGCAGTACTTCTCTGTATAGCAGTCTTATGACTTTGCACATGCATCAGCTCTTTAGAATGGTCGTGTGCCACCCAAAGTAGCAAAGCCGGACAGGATCCCCAAAACCAAGGTTCTTGTGTCTGCTTGGTTACTCTTTCTGTAACTGGAGCTCAGCTGGGAGGTTCTTGTGTCTATATCCTTCTGTGGACTGTTCAGCTCCAGTTACTCATTACAGGCAGCTACAGGTTCTTTGTCAGGTAGAGGTGGATCTGTCTCAGTATTTCACTTGTAGGATCAGCACATCTGGACAGCATTCCAGCAAGGATTTATCTTTCCGCAGCTGCTCTCTCTAAAAAGGGCCGAGAGTAGCATAAAAGTCTCAGCACAGGCTCCGAGTCCCGCTGGGTGGAACCAGAAGAACGAGGAGCTTCCTCTAGCACAGCTCCATCTGGGGCAGATAGAAGGAATTGGTATTCTGGTTCTACTTTCCCTCAACCTACACAATTGGGCCACCTCCCCAGTATCTGGCTGAGGAGAATAAAAAAGGATGGGGATGGCTTTGGAGGTTACATAAGGATTGGGATGGCTGAGAAAGATAAGTAAGGATGGGGATGGCTTTGGAGGTTACATAAGGATGGGGATGGCTGAGAAAGATAAGTAAGGATGGGGATGGCTGAGAAAGATAAGTAAGGATTGGGATGGCTGAGAAAGATAAGTAAGGATGGGGATGGCTTTGGAGGTTACATAAGGATGGGGATGGCTGAGAAAGATAAGTAAGGATGGGGATGGCTGGGAAAGATAAGTAAGGATGGGGATGGATGAGAAGGATAAATAAGGATGGGGATGGCTTTGGAGGTTACATAAGGATGGGGATGACTGAGAAAGATAAGTAAGGATGGGTATGACTGAGAAGGAATAATAAGAATGGGGTTGGATGAGAAGGATACATAAACATTGCGATGGATTAGATGGATAATTAAGGATGGAGATGGCTGGGGAAGATAAATAAGACTGAGGATGGATGACAAGGATACATAAGCATTTACCTACCTCCTGTGAGCTCAGGGTGTCAAGGCTCCACCCCTCCAAATAAGAAAAGTTCATCATTACGGTTTGCATACACTTTCATGAATCAGCCTCTCTGTCTCTCTCCAGGTGTGTGCGGGGACTGGAAGAATCATCTCACGGTGGCTCAGAATGAAATCTTTGATGCATATTTGGAGCGGGAGATGTCCGACACGGATCTAACCTTCCGATTCCAGGAATGACGCTCCTACTTTCCTGAACCCTTTTATTCCAGGACCATTTTATGACTGAAGTAATTGCTTGTCTATTATACATTCAAAATTAAAAATCAAAAACATTATACCATTTTCAGGCACGGTGTAACAGCTCATCTCTTTGTGCTTCTTAAAGCTGACCTCCGGCCTTCCCTTTAGTCTTCTATCTGACCTCCGCCCTTCCCTTCAGTCTTATCTGACCTCCGTCCTCCCCTTCAGTCTTCTATCTGACCTCCGTCCTCCCCTTCAGTCTTCTCTCTGACCTCCGTCCTCCCCTTCAGTCTTCTATCTGACCTCCGTCCATCCCTTCAGTCTTCTATCTGACCTCCGTCATTCCCTTCACTCTTATATCTGACCTCCGTCCTTCCCTTCAGCCTTATATCTGACCTCCGTCCTTCCCTTCAGTCTTGCACAGGGAAGGCAAAATATAAGCACATTTTACTTTAACTGCACGGGAAACACTTTTTGTACTGCAAGAATCTCAGTGTGACTTCACATCTAATTGTTTAGTGTTACCTACAACTATGTAGTATGAGGGTCTACCCAAATGAATGTGCATTGAATGGATTGTTTAGGTCAAATGGCATAACTACAACAGATCGGGGTGGGGAGGGGTACTAATCCCAGTTAGCATCGATGACCATGCAGTATGTATTGTAGACACTGCAGTTGGTACCTGGTGGGGCCATGATAGCATAGACACTGCAGATGGGGCAGCTTCTCTGTGCATAATACAATACTTATTATTATCAATCGAAGGGTTGGAGGGACCAAATCTGCTCCCTCGACTAGAACCCCATTCCACCTTCTCTTCTCATTAATACAACACGTAACACTGAGCGAGTGCTTGTTATGGAAAATCAGTCAATGGACCAGCATCAAATTAAACAATATCTGAACTATCTGAACACGTGTTGACATGCGCTAAAGTGCATAAGTGTGTATGACCCGAAAAGTAATTTTAAGAGGTACCCTGAGAGAGATTTGGGGGCTGCCCTCACTGACCTCATTTTCAACATGCCAGTTGCCTGACTTTTTCTAGATATATTACTCCAAGTCACTGACCCCAAACAAGCACATAGAGCAGAAAGTCCTAGTGATGCTGTACCTCCATAGATGCCAAATGTCCTGAATTTGCTGGGACTGCCGCGCATTTTTGCCCTCTGTCCCGCCGGTGCTGTATGCCGCAATCACGGCACCACACCTCAATCAGTAACTTAAAAAGACATTGGGGCTGTGAGTGGGCAGTCCCTATGTATTTAGAGGAGGGGTCTGCATACAGCCCACCTATAAAGTGGGCGTGATGTTGGGGGTTCCTGCATATCTAAAGGAGGGGTCTGCATATGACCAACCCATGAAGTTTGTCAGAGGGACATTGGTGGTCAGTGTGTGCGTAGGTAAAGGGACACCAGTGTTGGTGGGTGGAGAGACATTGGTGGTCAGTGTTTGTGGGCAGAGGGACATTGGTGGTCAGTGTGGGTGGGCGGAGGGACATGTGTGGTCAGTATTGTTGGGCGGAGGGACATTGGTGGTCAGTGTGGGTGGGTGGGTGAAGGGACATTGGTGGTCAGCGTGGGTGGGCAGGAGGTCATTGGAAGTCAGTGTTGCTGGGCAGAGGGACATTGGTGTTCATTGTTGGTGGGCAGATGGACAATGGAGGTCAGTGTGGGTGGGCAGAAGGACATTGGTGGTGAAAGTGCAGCAATTTGGGGTGATCTGAGGTGTGAAGGTGCAGGAATTGGGAATGATCTGAGGTGTGAAGGTGCAGGAACTGGAGGTGTTGTGAGGTGTGAAGGTCAGAATTGGGGGTAATCTGAGATGTGAAAGTGCAGCAATTGGGCTGATCTGAGGTCTGAAGGAGCAGGAGTTGGAACTGATCTGAGGGGTGAAGGTGCAGAAATTGGGGTGATCTGAGGTGTAAAGGGGGAGGAATTGGGCCTGATCTGAGGTGTGAGGGTGCAGGAACTGGGGCTGATCTGTGAAGGTGCAGGAATTGGGGTGATCTGAGGGGAGAAGGTGCAGGGATTGTACAATAGTCTGCAACAAGCATTAAGACCTATAGAGAGTGTAACAAAGCGGATAAACTGGTTTGTGTCCCAGGCACTGCCTGGCAGTGAAAGTGTTGAATTCTAATCTGTGTATAGACCCTGCCCTGTGTGTGTCAGTCTCTGCTTTCGCTCCCTTTACACTGACTGCACACCCGCCTGCTAACCTGGGCAAAGGTAACTCGGCACTGTGAGTGTCACTATCCCACGGATCAGACCCTGAAGGTAAGACTTTCCTCGTGGCTTGGACTGCTAATCTGCGATGGTCTGCAGATCCTGCCATAACCCATTATAATTACAGGATCATGTTATGGCGGCATGGGGCTGGCTGGGGCGTTAACCCTATAGGGGCTGGGAACCTTGAATATTAATCACAATTGCCCAAGTTCAAGTTGCTAAACCTGAGCAATACGTGAGATATCTAGAGTTCACTTGCTAAGTGCAGGTTAGTGTTATTGGCCATGTTAGGCTCACCGGGGTACACAAGAAGCTACCCACAGTGACCTTTGGTGAGAATACTGGCCAAGGATTAGGATGGCGCTTTATATACTGCACATTCACAACAGTACCTACCCTCATGGAGCTTACAATCTAAGGTCCCTATCTCACATGCATACATACAAGGGCCGATTTAGACAGGAGCTTACTAACCTACCAGCATGTCTTTAGAGTAGGCTGGCCATGGACCCAAGACCTGGCCAAAACAGAGTTCACCAGACTGGCAGCCCATTCCTTGGCCGAACAAGGTTACCAATACACATTTCTTCTATAAATCTTAATGACAGGGCCGTCTTTTGATAAATTGGGGCCATGGGAAAGAACCCAATGCCCCCCACCCCCTTCCCTAGCTGGAGTACTGGAGGCCATCTGAAACGACCTGTTTCATGGGGTACAGAATACGGAATAAGAATTCAGATTTCAATAAGATTTGGTGAGACACAAAGAAAGCAGAGCCGGAAGAGTGATTGAAGGAGATAGAAATGGTGGAAGGTTGGTGAAGGAGTGGTGGAGTTACAATGACGCAGGAATAATCATAAAGCACGTGATCCCTTCTATTAATTTGAGGTCCCGTCAATCCGGTGAATGCAGAGCGAATCTAGAAGGTGGTGGGATTAATGAAGGACCTAAAAGGAAGTGGAGTGTTTAGTCAATGAAGAGTGTAAAGCACGGGGTGGGCAACCTCGGCATGCCAGCTGCGGTGAACCATCAGCTCCCAACATGCCTCTGCCTCTAGGAGTCATCCCCGTGGCTGTCACAGTCTTGCAATGCCTCCTGGGACTTGTAGCTCCACCACAGCTGGAGTTGCAAGGTTGCCTATCCTTGGTGTAAAGCAAACGGACTGTCACTGTGTATTCTTTACAAGTATTTCCATATATTTTAAGAGACTGGAAACTGCAGGACAAGGAGACCCCCGCTGCTTCATCTGTAAGTATGCTGGGACCAAGCAGGCATGGACAGGACAGTGCCCCATAGACTTCTATAGGGCTGTGTCACCGAGGCTGTAGAAGATCAGAAATGGTCCCATAGAAGTCCATGGGGCTGTAATGTGCAGGCTGGGCCGGGAAAGTGAACTCTTGTGATATTAGGTGTAAACAAGCATGATAACCACAGTCGTTGGTATGTATGCACGTGTGGAAGGGCAGGGTGGCTTAGGTCAGGGGAAGAGGGGCAACAAGGATGAGTGCACTTTGTTTTATATAAGTTCACTAATCCTTTAAGCAATTTGTGTGCTGATTTTTCGTTCTATCTGAATGGGGGCAAAAACGAATGTTATTAGTATATTTTCATGCCGGGTTGGACATAATTTATTCATAAGATTATGGCGAATCAGGATAATAACACATTATGGCCACCTGAGGGAGCCGAGGATCATAGGAAACAAATACTTATTTCCTGTGCTCATTAGCTCCATCCAGTGGCCATAATTTAGTATTTGCCTGATTCGCCCTAACCTTATGAATGAACTACATTTGACCCGGAAAGAAAATATTCTAATAACATTAGTTTCTGCCCCCATTGACATAAAACAAATGTACATGTAGTTTCTCAGGACAAATGGCTCTGCAGTTTTTTTTACAATTACACCCCTTTGTCATTTGTAAATAATGTAAACTTGCTTTGTAGCAGAAACATCATTTTGCTCCCATTTAAAAAAAAAGATCATTTGCAAAATGAAATTTCTACCTTTGCATTATATCAACAATAATATCTGTCCCCCGTTTTATACATTCTAGGCCTTATTATCGGCATCTGACGGTGACTCTCACGGTGTTCCGTTGGACAAGTAGACAGCGCGGCACACCATGGCTCACTCCAACATCACCCCAGAAGAGCTGGAGTCACTTAAACGCCCCCCGCTCGTATGGGTGGACGGGATGCCAACCATCGGCCCCTTTGCAGCCAACTGGGACAACGTTGTGAAATTCCAGGCCCGAGAGGAGGATCTGCTGATAGCCACCTACCCAAAATCCGGTGAGCACGGCAACCGATAGCGTGTCCATAGAAAAATAAAAGAAGCTTACACATATTCAAGGGGCGAGGATGCAAATATGAACTGACACTTCAAATAAACGTCCAGCTCTGGTCTGCCGCAAATTGTGGTGAATGTATTCATTCAATATGTGTGATATTTGCAGGGACAACATGGGTGAGCAAGATAGTAGATCTCATCATGAATGGGGGAGACATGGAGAAGAGCCAGAGAGGAGCCATATTTGAGCTTGTGCCTTTCCTGGAGAGCGCAGCACCCGGAATTACCTCAGGTATCTTTCTATGCCAGGTGTGAAAATCCCGTGTGAAAGAAACATTTTGTATGTTATCCAGCCAACATTATATGATGTAGATTTGTAGAATGACTTGTTTCTTAACACCTGACCATCAAACCTATATGAGCTTGATGGACCTCTCAGCCCATAACTATGGACATTGATATGGACCCCCATCCTTCCCCACCAGCGCCCCACCACCACCATGGCTCTAGCAGCCAACACTCTTCTGGAAGAATGTGACCAATATTTGGAGTCAGAGTGAATTTCTGCCCATTTGTGAGGTTGGGTACTGATGTTGGATGAGAAGACCTGACTCGCAATCAGTAGCGTCACAAGGGAGGTGCGGCGCGCACCTGGGTGACACCATTGGAGGGGTTCAATAATCAAAAGAAACCCATCAAACACCTGACCAGATAATACCCTCAAGTATCGGGTGGGTGCCAAGCGACCACTGATGGCTCCGCAAATCAGTATAAGTATGAAGAAGTCACTCGCACTCCAGCTCAAGTTCAGTCAATATTTTATTGACCTCTGTGGTGTCACAACATGGCGATGTTTCGTAACCCGTTTGGTCCCTTCATCAGGCAAACTCTTTAAAAAAATATTGACTGAATTTGAGCTGGAGTGCGAGTGACTTCCACAGTCATTTTGGTGTCACCCCCTTTGAAAAGTCAGGCACTCTATCATAGACCGAGAGGCCGACAGTTTCAGGAGAGAGGAGGGGACCCGGCGGGATACCTTATCCCGTCGGGTGAATGTCCCCGCCTCTCTCTGCCGGCGTCCATCACCAAAATGGCTGCTGGCAGGTATCAATAAGATGACCGTACGTGCGTGGTGACGTCATGTGCATGCGCGATGACGTCACAGCGGGGTGTCACCTGGTATCCGCTCCGGGTGACACTCGGCCACGGGAAGCCCCTGCTCGCATTGGCATTCTATTTCATCCCAAAGGTGTTCAGTAGGGCTGAGGTCAGGGCTCTGTGCAGGACACTTGAGTTCCTACACACCAGACTGGTCAAACCATGTCTTTATGGAGCTGACTTTGTCATGGGGACAGTCATGGTGGAACAGAACGGCCTTCACCAAACTGTGACCACAAGGCTGGACGAGTACAATTGTCCAAAATATATCTGTTTTCTGTGGTATTATCAGTATCTGGAAACACCTGAACTCCATAATTTGGAGGGAGGTCAACATTTTGGCCATATAGTGTATCAAAGATGGATCTCCACATCATGGCGACAAGCACATGTGAAATGAGAAGTTACATTATAATGGTGGCAAGTGTAGCTAATGAGCAAAGGAAATACTATTATATACGTATTTATTGGAGCATTTATTTATATTTATACTTATAGGAGCATACTTATTTCCTATGCTCCTCAGCTCCATCGAGTGGCCAAAATGCGATATCACAAATACAATTACCTTTAAAAGTATACAAGAACAACAGAAGAAACATTCACAGAGATTTGCGGGGCCAATGGCTCTGCGAATTGTTTAAGAATAGACCTTGCACAAGCAGATTTTCATCCAACGCGTTTCTTGGAACAATGTCTACATTTTCAAGGTTGTGCATGCAGTCCAAGTGATGGGAAAGATCTCCTCTCATAGATCATGTTTTATATCTAGAACCATCAATCATTGATATGAAACCACCTTCAGAACGTGTGGCACCAAATCTAAGGAATTGATTCAGCACTCGGGATGAATAGACATCCTTCGGGTGGTTTATCTCACGTGGAGACCACTCCACTTGCCACCATCCACAGCCCACAAGTTATCTATACAAATATTTCGGAGCTCTATCATATAGGAGGAAATAAAATGCTGTACGCTTTGAACTTTGTCCCAGTTTGTACATTAGCAGGTCGTAAATATCTCCGTCTTATTCGGGTTCCTGACTTGTCCATTGAGTTGTTTTAGGGATATGATATGTGAAGACACGAATCGTTTCCTCTGACTTTATTTATTTTCATGCAGTTATCATGTAACCACAACGCATTTTCCCTCAATTCTTGATTTTTCCTCCAGGAACTGAGCAACTGGAGAAAATGGACTCCCCGCGTGTGATTAAGACCCACCTTCAGGCGGACGTTCTTCCCAAGAGCTTCTGGGAAAAGAACTGCAAGGTTTCGCTTATTGATTTTTCTCTTTCTGAATGTGAGACCGTGCCTGGGTCAGTTATCAGTCAACACACAAGCTGTCAAGAAGCCCGTCAAAGAGCTCCTGCTGGTAGCTGTTGCGCAAGCATCTGCACATGCGCTTACACATGGTTTGACCCATGAAGCCAGGCCAGGGTGTGCGTCTCTGCATAGATGTGTGCGTGCACTACAGATTCTGGCGCCACACTGGCTATTCAAACTGTGTCTCCCTGATGTTCAGTGCTGCTGGATGATCGTCAGCTTTCAGCTATCAAGACTTCCTGTGTTCCTGTTTGCTGACCCGGCTAGCCTGACCCTTCTGCTGTTCTCCTGCTCCTTGACCCCGGATTGTTCCTGACACCTCTTCTGCCTGCTGTTCTTGTGCCCCGCTGTCCTCCTGGTTTTTACCTTGCCCTGCCCCCCCCCAACAAATCTGTCTGCTATCTGGTTCTGTATTGTCGCTGGATTCCTGCTCGGCCTGCCCCGGACCTTGCTACCATCTGATCTGCATCCCAGACGTACGTTCCCTGCGTTGTCTGCGGCGCTGCAGTGGTGATTCTGGACTACAATTCTGGCACCAGTCTTCAGGCACTTGTGCCCCTCTGTGCCCTGAGCTCCCTGTTCCATTGCCCAGGGGTCTCAGGACCGGAGCTGCAAGAGAGGCCTCCCTCGTCACTAGGGTTGCCACCTGTCCGGGGTTCACCTGGACAGTCTGAGTTTTGGATGCTGTGCCTGGGTTTCATGGTAGCTGAAACCCAGATGCATGAAGTCAGGCAGACAGGGGCAACCAAAATTAAGATAGGGGCTACTGGCCCCCCACTGAAAATAGTCTCGACTGTGATATTTAGATATTAATGTGTGGTGCTATCTACATATGAATACGCCGCGACTCATTCTCCCCAAAAAATTTCCATGCGCCAGTAGAGTGTCCAGGTTTCGCTGGGAGAAAAGTTGGCAACCCTACTCGTCACGCTCAAGGTAACGTGACACAAGCACAGCACAAGCGGCGGCTCTGGCTTTCAGAAAGCTTTTACCGGGCTTCAGTAACCTTTCACCGAGCTCCAGGCTCTTCTGCGTCCTAAAAGTTTATATAATGTTACAGTGAAACTCTCTTTATAGTATATCTAAAGCACAAACATTTTATAGCGGGAAGGCCTAAACCCCATGTCAGGCTTCATCGAGTAACATGTCCTCTTTAGTCTTGAGTGTGATGACTGCATGGCCATGTGCTTAAATGAAAAATGTGACAGCCATTTCCATTGGTCTCTAGATGATCTACGTGGCTAGGAATGCAAAGGACGTGGCGGTATCCTACTATCACTTCTACAGAATGGCCTATGGACACCCAGAGTCAGGGACGTGGGATGAATATCTGAACACCTACATGGAGGGCAATGGTACGTGAGTCAGATGTTGGACCTCTAGAATTGATGTTGCCCATGACACGTTGGTGTTTTTGTATCATGGAACTGGCAGACATTTGATCAGACTTCCTGTTTTTTTGTCTTGTCCGGCAGTTGCCTTTGGGTCGTGGGCCAAACATGTGAAGGGCTGGTGGGAGACGAGGAAAAAACACAAGCTCCTGTACTTGCTCTACGAGGACATGTTGGAGGTAACTTGGCTTTGTCTTGCCGCCGTGTGGAGAACTCTCGGCCGATAACAGTGAATTGAACCTTGTTGACCTCTCCGGTTAGGACCCGAGACGCGAGATCCGAAAGGTGATGAAGTTCATGGATAAGGAACTTCCTGAAGAGATCGTGGAAAAAATACACACGAACACCTCCTTCCAGGCCATGAAGGACAACCCCATGGCCAACTATAGTACCTTCCCGTACATGGATCACTCAGTATCCCCGTTCATGAGGAAAGGTAACACGTAACAGTCTTCTCTACATTGGTTTTCATTTCCACAAATCTTTATTAAACAGTCATGTGCACAATCTGTAGTCATAACACACTTCCTATTCGAGGGCGACCATGCTGCTACTCCAGAGATACAGTACGGTGATTGAGCGTTGTCGCCCTAAGACAGACAGTCAGTTACTGGCAGGATAACCGGGTGAAAATAAAGGGAAGGGGAAAAAAAAGTGTGTTAAAAAAAAGAAAACTAACGCAGCCGCCACATCTAGTATCAAGTATTAAACCAGCTGAAATACAGTGATTTGCATCAATCCCTATACATGGATCCGGTCACTGTGCAGTCCCCCACGGTGCGTCACATGACATCTCACGTGACATCTCTCTCCCCCTCCAGGGATTCGTGGCGATTGGAAGAACCAGTTCACTGTCGCCCAGAACGAGAGATTTGATGAATATTACCGGAGGGAAATGTCTGACACGGATCTCACCTTCCGCATGTAACAAGGACGCGGCTGGAGCTCCAAACCAGAACCATCAACTCCAAGCCTCAGGCTGCTCAGAGCCAAACTCTCTCCTTCCATAGACAGATCTTTGTGATGCTTCGCGACAATAAAACGACACAAGTGATCCTCAGGAGGGACCGCCGACTCTTTACGGAGTCTATTGTTCGATTTTCTAATAAACAAGTAAAACTTTTGTGTTTTAAGAAACGTTATAAATGGCTAAAATTGAGGTTTTTTTTCTTCTCTTTGAATGAGCTAATGAGCAAATCCGGTGGAGGACACAAATGAGGAGTCCATGGCTCCCCCTCACTATGTAGACTGGCAGCATTGACTGAGGAAAGGCTTCCTCCTGCCTGCAGAAGACTGATCACTGGGGGAGGGGAGACTTAGGAAATGCTTCCTCCTGCCTGAGGGATGAAGGGGGTCCTCTGAGGAGGGGAGGAGGGGCAGGCACAGATTTGGGCTTTACATTTATTTGACGCTCTTTATTACAGTCAGTTTGATTGACATTTGCCGTCTTCTGAATATTTAGGACATTCCTGCCACCTCTGAACCCTCCAGCCTTGCCCTCATATATGAGATACACGTCCTCCATAACAAATAGCTGAGCACGAAGATTTATTCCAAGTCCCAGAGAACTAGTCTGGAGGAAACAATGAGGGCACGCAGCACCCCGCCGGGAATCCATAGCAACCGATCCCTCCGTCCCTCCCGGAAAACGAACTTTATGATGATTGTAGCCGCATTAGCATGAAGGGCTCGGTGCATGTGATGCTGAGGCCCCTGTGATTCAAAGAACTGAAAAGGGCGGGGCCAGGGACAGTCATCCGGGGGAGGAAAGTGTTAGATGATGCTGGACAGCCAGGAAATGAAGCGGGACTCTGTCTGACTTGCTGCCGCTTCTAATGCACATTGTGAGAAGCTTCCAGTGTGCAGTGACATCAGAGGAAGCCATTCCAGTCCAGGAGAGGAGCCGGTACCACTGCCCAATTATTCCGTTTAACATGCACAGATCATCCAAACCTGTATGTTGTTGCCCCCCCCCTTGTCTTTGGGTTGCCTCAGTGGCTCCTCATTTGGTGTTCCCAATTGATTTGGATCCCTCCAGTGGTAGGCAGGCCCGGATTTCCCACAAGGCCACCGAGGCCCGGCCTCGGGGCGGCAGCGGTGACCTTGTGGGAAGTTACGGGAGCCGGTGTGAGGTGTCCCGGCGGCGGGAACTTCGCCCACCGGCTCCGTTGTGTGCGGAGAACCTGTCCAATGAGATTCCATCCATTCCGTCTCCTGGCAGGGAAATGGTTAAACTCTTACAGAGTATCTCACACTCCAATTTCATTCATTCCAGGGGCTCCCTGTCAGCCCAGCCCCCCAAATTATTCACATGAGCCAAATTCCTGCAGCGGGGGGGGGTGATCCGAAAATCACATTGTTAACCCTTCCTACGCAGACCCTGGAAAACAAAATGGCGGCAGCTGCAAATTTTTATATAGCACGATATTAGCGCAACTCTCAAACCCAAATTTTCGGTAAAAAATACACTTTAGAAAATTTTTAGTGCAGAAAAAACACAAAATAATACCCGATTTTTTTGTAAAAAAAATTAAAGATGAGGTTGTGCCGAGTAAATAGATACCCGGCATGCCCAGGGTTAAAAATTGCGTGCGTCCGTGAAACGGCGACAAAATCCCCCCAAACTGTCCATAGGTGACTCTTTAGATGCCCGTAAAGGCGATCAGTTCAGAGATAACTGAATGACCGCTCTCCCACTGGCGCACGCGGTGATGCCCAACACGTGTGGCGTAATCGTCATTTGCGTACGTGGGCGCACCCGATGCTGTGTTTTTGTTAGTATGTGCGTGTACAGGGCTCATTCACACAGGTGTGCACATGCGTACAGCATGCATGCCCGGGCAGAAACCGGCTCCCACGAAGAGACAGGTGCTGCGTGTAATTGCATGCAGCCGCCTGTACCTCCCTAGGGGAGGATGTAACTACATTCTGCTGCACGTAGTTACACGGGAGCCGGTCTGTGCGCGGGCGCGCACGCTGTAGGGATGCGCACGCCCCTGCGAATGAGCGCTAACACACCCGACAGATCTGTCATTAGGCTTGTGAACAGCAAATCTGGCATAAGAAGAGTATAATATGTAGCAGAGAACACGCGTGTGTGGCCGACTATTGTACACATGATCAATGTTCACAAAATTTTTGAGCTGAAAAAAATAAATAAACTCATACGGTAACTTTGTGTCCTAAAACTTCACGAATTATGACCTGACCGTCGTTTCCTAAAATGCCTAAATGCTGATAGCACTCAGCTGTGGGGACTACAAAACGTCTGAGGGAGCCCCTGCTCTAGAGGAAGGATTAGGGCGGGGGGGGGGCCTTCCGGGAACAGAAGAGCCGAGCAGAGACACAGAAGAGAGGAGTGTGGGAAAGTGTTGTGTAAGGTGGAATGACCAGCTGACTGATAGGTGAGAGGTAATAAAGGGAAAGGTTCAACCTACTTGGCAGCAAACTAGTCACGGTGACTAATCAGTCCTGAAAAAGAGCCGGGACGCCGAGGAACCTCAAATCCGTGGAGGACAACAAAGTATCTCAGCGACGTCCTTCATCCATCGCAGGTCTCCAAGATGACCTCAACGTTGGAATGGCGAAGGCGAGATCTGGTGAACGTCCGCGGTGTTCCCATGATTTGCCCCTTTGCCCACAACTTGGAGCAGATAACGGATCATTTCCAGGCACGGGACGGTGACATCGTCATAGCGACGTACCCCAAATCAGGTACCCGGAGTCACCGGTGGCTGGAGGAAAAGTCATAATGCAGAACGTTGACGGTTGTGGCGTTTTTTCCTCACAGGTACAACGTGGATGAGCGAGGTCGTGGATCTTGTCCTGAATGACGGAGACATCGAGAAGAGCCGGAGGGATGCCATTTTCAAGAAGGTTCCGATGCTGGAGTTCCAGGTCCCGGGGGAGATACCGCCAGGTCAGTCACGGGTTATGTGTTATTCATTTTGTGGTTTTTTTTGTAGGTGATGAGAACCCAAAACTACGTCCGTGTCTTCAAATCATGTTTTTAAAACTGTGCAAAGTTTACTTCTTGTACCCATGTTATATATTACACCCACACTTAGGTTATAACATGGAACACGGTCGCACCCCCAAACCCCCAACTACCCAACCCCCACCACTTACCTGAACCCTTAGGTTCTTCTCCCCGTAGGCTTCTGTTATTGTTTGGATTTGGTGCGGCTGATCCTCCGACAGCATCTGTTAGGGATTCACCAATACCGGTATTTCTGTATCGAGTACGAGTACCGATATTTTTTTTTCCGGTACTCGCCGATACCGGAAGTTCCATTAAGGAAGCCAGGCGACGTGTAAAGACTCGCCACCCGGCTTCCCAAAGAGCAGGGAAGCCGTCTCCATGCTACCTCGTCACTAGGGCTCACATAGCCCACCTGAGAGCCCACACAGCCACCTGAACATCCGCGTAACCCACCTGAGACACCACACAGCCACCTGAGAATTTGCATAGCCTATCTGAGACCCCACACAGCCACCTGAGACCCCACACAGCCACCTGAGACCCCACACAGCCACCTGAGAGTCTGCATAGCTCACCTGAGACCCCACACAGCCCCATGAGAGTCTGCATAGCCCACCTGAAAGCCTGCTTAGCCTACCTGAGAGTGCACACAGCCCACCTGAGACCCCACGTAGCCCACTGAGAGCACACTTAGCCCACCTGACAGTCCACACAACCCACCTGAGAGCCTGCAGAGGCCACATGAGATCCTGGGACGTCAGGGCGCCATCCTGGAACAACACAGAGTATGTAACTTCATATTATTTTGTATTGCTGGGATTTGTAGTCCTCCATAGCCGGTCTCCTCACTCCCTCCCCTGGCTGCCTCTCCTCGCTCTCTCTTCTCTATATTCTCCAAAAAAAGAAAGAAAATGGCCTCGCATGGCACTAGAGGGGTTTGGGTTTCCCTTGAAGAAAAGGTGGTGACCCCAGCCTATAGGTGTCCTTTAGAGCCAGCCTGATCCTGATGCCCTCTGACCTTCCCTCTTCTTCCAGGAAGTGAGATATTGGAATCCGTCCCGTCCCCGAGAGTAATAAAGACTCACCTTCCTGTGTCGCTCTTCCCAAAGTCCTTGTGGTACCAGAACGTCAAGGTACGGCTACAGTGGGGCAGGTACAATGTCCTTACCTGGTCTTCTAATGTGTGTAGAACTTACCGTGTCCCCTCCAATGGTGGGAGTTCACCAACACATCTACAACATGTGTGATTGGCTGCTTAAATCTGACCTCTGACCTTCCCTTCAGTCTTACCCCGATGTGCCGGCTCCTCTCCTGGACCACAGACTGGTCTTGTTGCCTATAACCTCCAGCCTGCTGATTGGGCAGTGAAGGAGCAGCAGCACGACTTAAAGAATTTAGAGGTTTTCCACACTTCCTGTTGCAACTCTGGGACAGGAAGTAAAGGAAAATCTTCCAAATAGGGCACCAACAGGGGTGACTACGCTGCCCTCTGGTTCTCTGCCCAGGATGAGGTTCTGACCGATCTTTTCCCTTAGATCATCTACGTGGCGAGGAACCCCAAAGACGTGGCCGTGTCCTTCTATCACTTCGACAAGATGAACCAGCTGCATCCGGATCCGGGGACCTGGGAGGAGTACGTCGAGCGGTTCATGGAAGGGAACGGTGAGGATTGACGGCGAGCTTTCATTGGACGCCAATTTTATGCACCGTTCACTAAGGTGATGCCTGTCTCTTGTAGTCGGTTTCGGCCCCTGGGGAGCTCATGTGAGGGATTGGTGGGACCTGAGGCAGCAGAAGGACATCCTGTACGTGTTCTATGAGGACATGTTGGAGGTAAGTCTTCAAGGAATGTACCAAAGTGGATCTGATCCCAAACCTCATAGAAGCTGAAACATCTTCCTGTCATTTTTACTCTCTTTAAATCTACAGCTTTCATTGCAATAATCCCCGGTGGTCCTGCCATAAGGGTCCTTGCTCAGGCGCTTCCTGTTATGGGGTGACAACTGTCTCCCAGTTGTGCTTCTGTGTTGTCACCCGTTCACATGCCCCCCAGTGTGGAAGACTACAAGTAGCCATCCAACTCCTTCCTCCATTGTCAGGAAGCCGGTCCAGAGCAATGACGTCCAGCTGAGGCTGGAGCGAGTGCATGTAGACATTATTGAGCCTGATGGAGGGGGCCCTGCGGCGTGGCCCCCGAAGGCGCTTGTCCTGATGAAATCTTCGTGCTGGAGTGCTGATTACATCTATGTTTGTTACTGTGTTGTCACCCTGTCACATGCCCCCCCTGTTCCCCAACACTGTAACAAAGTGACTACAAGTAGCCATGCCAACACCTCCTCTGTTGTTGAGGCACTTCCTATTATGGGGTGACAACTGTTTCCCAATTGTGCTCCTGTGTTGTCACCCCATCACATGCTCCCCTGTAAAGATTACAAGTAGCCATGCCAACACCTCCTCTGTTGTTGAGGCACTTCCTGTTATGGGGTGACAACTGTCTCCCAATTGTGCTCCTGTGTTGTCACCCTGTCCCATGCCCCCCTGATAAAGACTACAAGTAGCCATGCCAATACCTTCTCTGTAGTTGAGGCACTTCCTGTTATGGGGTGACAACTGTCTCCCAATTGTGCTCCTGTGTTGTCACCCTGTCCCATGCCCCCCTGATAAAGACTACAAGTAGCCATGCCAACTCTTTCCTCCATTGTCATTATCAGCAAGCCAGTCTTAAACCCCCACCCTCCCAACCGCATGCATGCTTGGGCTTGGTAAAATGATAATTTGATCACGGATATGTATACCTCCTCTGTTGTTGAGGCACCCCCTGTGTTGTCACCCTGTCTCATGCCCCCATGGTAAACAATAAAAGTAGCCATGTCAACACCTCCTCTGTTGTTGAGCCACTTCCTTTTATGGGGTGACAACTGTCTCCTACTTGTGCTCCTGTGGCTCCTGTGTTGTCACCCTGTCACATGCCCCCCCCCCCCGGAGAAGAATACAAGTAGCCATGCCAACTCTTTCCTCCATTGTCACTGTCAGGATGCCGGTCCAGGAAAAAATAGAACGCAGTGTTTTATTTCTTGATTATGATAAGCATCGCTTTAGCAAACTAAATGTCACCCGTTTTTCATGCTTCTCTTCATTAGGATCCGAGCCGCGAGATCCGGAAAGTGGTGAAGTTTTTGGGGAAGGACTTCTCCGAGGAGGTCGTGGATAAGATTTGTCAGCATACTTCCTTCAAGGCAATGAAAGAGAATTCCCTTACCAATTACACAGCCTTGTCTTCCACCATCATGGACCAGTCCATCTCCCCGTTCATGAGGAAAGGTACAACACTGCCACCTGTCTGCCAAAAGAGGAACTACTACTACATATAACATTCCCATTGGGGGGAATTTTCACTCACTTCCTGTCCTGGTGACACATGCTGTCTTAAAGCCCAACACTTCCCCTTCAGGCTGCCTCCCTTCTTACCCTGAAGGTTCCCTGGCATACCACAGCAGCCACTAGATGGCGCCGAGGAGAATAGGAAATATGATACTTAGTGCCATCTAGTGGTGGTATGGCCAAGCAAACTGCACACGCCAAGCTATACGCTGGATGGAAGAGCTGAGGGGGGCGGGCCCAAGATGGCCTTCCATTACAGTCAAATTCTTGCACTGGCCACACACCCCCATTCCCCCTGGTGGGCTATTGTATTCTGACAGCAGTGGGTGTGCCGCCGTCAGAATACTTGCACAGTGGCTGCAGCTAATTGGCATTTCCGGACCTCAAATGGAGGAATGCGGATCGGGCCGCACAGTGCTGGAAGTCAGACAAGTCAGCATGACTGGGCCGAAATTCGAGCAGTGTATGGCCAGCCTTCTAGGTTGAGTGACCATGGATGTCATGTAGCCTGGAAGACTGAGGACACCTTGTGGCCAAGAAGAGGTACTGAGGGGAACTGCTCAGGACTAGAGGCGAGCCTTGCAGCCAGAGCCAAAGGGGGAAACTTTTTGAAAAAATATCTGTTCCCTAAAGCCCGTAGTTGGGCTTTAGGGGGAAGACATAGCGGCATTAAAACTGTTGTCCAGGAGAGTATGGAAGGGTTAGAACCTCTACCCCAGTGCAGGAGATATACAATTATGGATTCCACCTGTTCAGAATGCTAAGAGGCAGAGCTGGATCACTAAAAGGAAAACTGAACAGGAGCTTAGGGCTTAGTGAGGCTATGTGGGGGCCCAGATGGAATCGGAAGGCTCCTGCAATAAACCAGGGGGGTATCACGATTGGCCAAAGCTGTGTAGCTACCCGTGGCTTCATAAGGGAGGATGTACTTGTAGGCAGTTGGTGCCCGATGGGGTCATGCCGGGGCAGCCAATGCAAACGGGAGGCCTACAGCCATCCTAATTATTGTAAATAAAATGGGTGGGGGGAGGGGGCAAAACTTCTACCTTAACTAGGGCCCCATTTTCCCTTAGGCCCCGTTCACACCTTTCCGTTTTGTCGGGCGTTCAACGCTCTATGAACGCTCTACAAAACGTACAACCATGAAAATCCCATTGTTTTCTATGGGTATGGTTCACACCTTTCCGTATTTCCGCCCGTCTGAACGCCCTACAAAAAGGCTGACGCCCAAACAAGTACATGAACTTCTTTGGGCCGTTTTGGAGGGCGTTTTCCATTGGGATACAGCCAAGTAGCCTTCGGAATTGGGCGACGGTCGCGCAATTTTTTACCGCGAATCGCGGTAAAAAACGCGTGACGGTCGCGTGGCAGACGTGCATACGTAATACGCCTAGGTGTGAACCCAGCCTTAATCTGTCTCTTCAATAGGCACGGGTGATTCCAAGTATTTCCATCTGAATTCTAAAAATCTGATCTCTTGGATCTCTCTGTTGCATCATCTTCACGTGTCCATGGTTTCTCTCTCCAGGAATCTGCGGCGATTGGAAGAACCATTTCACAGTGGCCCAGAGCGAGAGATTTGATGAGTTTTACCAGAAAGAGATGTCCGGAACGGACCTGACCTTCCGCTTCTAGAATCAATAGCTCCTCAGCCAAACCGTGACACATATCTATGAGACAAGTCCATGACAAAGTCCAATCCATGACTCTCCATCATAACTTATGTCTACCGGGATCTAAAAGATGGTCAAGATTGCCAAACCATGACTCTCCATCATGGTTCTTATCTCTAGGGTTTTAAAGATGGTCAAGGCGGCCAAACCATGACATCCGTCAATGAGACAAGTCCATGACAAAGTGCACACCTTGACTCTCTATCATGGATTATATCTCCAGGCCTTCAAAGATGGTCAATGTGGATGGTCAAGATGGCCAAACTATGACACCCGTTAATGAGATGAGTCCAAGACAAAATCCACACCTTGGCTATTCATCATGGTTCATATCTCCGGCCTTTCAAAGATGGGCAAGATGCCAAACCATGACACATCAATGAGACAAGTCTATGACAAAGTCCAATCCATGACTCACCATCATAACTTATGTCTACAGGCTCTAAAAGATGGTCAAGGCGGCCAAACCATGACATCCGTCAATGAGACAAGTCCATGACAAAGTGCACACCTTGACTCTCTATCATGGATTATATCTCCAGGCCTTCAAAGATGGTCAATGTGGATGGTCAAGATGGCCAAACCATGACACCCGTCAATGAGACGAGTCCAAGACAAAGTCCACACCTTGACTCTCCATCATGTTTCATAACTCCAGGCTTTCAAAGATGGTCAAGATGAATGTGGCACCAATAGTATTGTTCGTAAGACTTACTGTCTTGTTGTTTGGCCTCCGTTAGAGAAAGGTGAAGAACAAACAAGCTGATGGACAAGAGATGCAACATCAATATATCGGTTCCCTGTGAAAACAAAAAACATTACCCACCAAATTCAGAATTCTTCTATGATAAATGATTAAATAATGAATGATATGTAACTGATTGCTATGTCACTTGTACAGCGCAGAGGATCCTCAGCGCCATCTAGTGGCCACAATGTGGTATTTTCTCCAACCATTCTATTCTTTATCAATTAACTTACAAATTCCAGGCAAACAGTAAAGAAATTGCGGCTTTTTAGACTAAAAAAGCGCCAGATGGAGCCGAGGATCATAGGAAATAAATACATGTTAGTAACACAAAACAAAACGAGAGAAAAACTGGAGATAACGAGCATATAAATGTAACCATTGCTACCCCCGTAGTTACATTTGTATTCCCCTTACCGTCCTCGTTCTGGTGACAACTCTATAATGTTGGCTTTCCCTATATTTCTGTCTCTGCGGCAATGATCACTGATACAAATGGAGGGACATAGTGATGAAGACACTGGAGGGATGAACATGTTAGGCTAGGTTCACACCTAGACGACTCTGATGGTGAGCTTTTTTCGCGCGTTTTCGATCGCGCGACTGTTCATTGTAAACCCCCGCGATTGTCGCGCGTTTTTCAATGCATAGAGGTGTCTATGGGACAAATCGCAAAGGTGTGAGCAGCCTCCATTGACTTCAATGCGAATCTGTGTTTTGTGCGATATCGCGTGACTCAAACCGCGCAATAAATCGTCTAGGTGTGCACCGGACTTAAATGTAACTATGGATACCACAGCGGTAGCAATAGTTACATTTGTATTCTCATTCCCTCCAGCGATCTCTAGATTTGTAACATTGTATCTCCTTACTAACATGTATGTATTTCCTGTGATCCTCGGCGCCATCTAGTGGCCATAATACTGTATTTCCCCCATTCCCTCTGTTCTGTATGACGGAACCTATTGAAGAACATTCGACCAGAAGAGAAATTACATTAAGAACATTCGATTTTTCCCCATTCTCACAGCAGCCGGCTAAATTGCACACAACCGATGTACATGCAGCTTCACTGGATGAATAAGCTAGGCCCATTATTTGTAAATAGGCCCCTTGGTGATTGGAGGAGAGCCTGTCACATGACTTTGATAGGACACCAGGCACCCTTATTTTCCCCCCTCATTATAATAAATGGGCCTTTTTCGCTTGTTGTGGATTCCCAAAGCAGCCACCCCTGGGGGCGTATTTGGAACGCACAGAGCCGTCCTTTATATACAGAAGGTGCTGCGTGGACACGATTGGCGGATTTGTTGTTAATAAGATTTCATTGAGCAAAATGTTTCCTGAATAAAGGTGACACTTTGTGCACACTGGACCCCGCATGAAGCCCCCATGTCACTGGGCCTCATTCACACGGGTGAATGTGTTTATATGCATAGGACATTTCTAAAAGCATGTGAATACATATAAAAGTATATAATATATATAAAAGATTTGGAATACAAGTGAGCGCATTATGATGATTAGTAGAACAGTAGAAAGGTATCATGGCACACTCACAAACTAGCATGTAAAACAACTTGTCTCACCACTAAGGACAATGACAGAGGTTTGGATACACGTCTTCTGCAAAGGATGTGTAAGCCGCACTGCCGCGCCAAGGCACCTCTTATAGTGCGGTCCTTACTGTACAACTGGTAACAAATTGTTGAGTGCGTTTGTCGTTTGTTTCGCATTATGATGATGACGCAGCTGTTCTTGTTGTTTCCTCCGTGACAAGGACACAGGGCTGGAATTTTGGCGCGGCGGCCATCTTGCACAGCTGCGGGGGAAGTGCCGCCAGGACGTGTTTTACATTCGGGGGACAGCTAGAAAATATTTCCTTACACGGCCTCAGCTTTGTATTAAAGGAGAACTATGAGGGAGGGAGGGGGGGTGCTTTTCACTCACCTCATAGTTCTAGCCGACCTGTGACAATGAGACTGTCACAGGTCGGCTCAGTAGATCGGGAGGTGAGCGAACACATACCGGCGTAGACTGTCCCTCCTTCTAACCCAAAATTTTCATCTCAGTTTCCTTGTGTCGATTTCCCTTCCCTCCTTCCCTGAATTTCAGGGTCACTGTGAGATAATTTCGTGTTTCTTCCTTGTAGCGTTGGACAGAGCGGGGGAAGGGATAGATTCTCTGCTTGTACGTACACAAGAAGTGCCAAACCAAATGGAAGAGTCCAAAACTGCTTTAATTGTTCATAAACTGATGCGTTTTGGGGGGGCAAACACGCTCCCGCCGTCATCAGCTCCCATACCTTCCCTGATACCGCAACTTCCGCTCAGAGGGGAACATGGAGCCAGCTTAACGTGCGATCAGGAAGCTGAGTGGCCGAGTAATGACCCGTCTCGCGGGTTCCTGATTGGCATCCCAGGCAATCAGCGTAGCTTCCCGGCCAATTAAGGAGGCGGGTCAATACTTGCCACCTGGCTTGGCCAGGAAGCCGGCTGGATGATGATTGGCTGGGAAGCCGGTTTCCCGGCCAATCACAATCAAGGTGGCCAAACAACAAGGAGCCGTCTTCCCGGGCAAGCAGGAAGTCGGGCGGTATGTCGTTACCCACCGCCCGGCTTCCTGATTGCCCGGGAATCCTGCTCTATGCCAGCGGAAGCAGTGGCGTCACAAGGAGGGTGCGGCCCGCACCCGGGTGGCACCATTGCAGGGGTCTGACAGTCATTTTGGTGTCACCTCCCTCTAAAAAGTCAGGCACCCTGTCATGGACGGAGAGCCCGACAGTGTCAGGAGAGAGGAGGGGACCCGGCGGCATACCTCATCCCGCCGGGTGAACGTCCCCTCCTCTCTCTGCCGGCGTCCATCATCAAGATGGCTGTCGGCAAGCGTCAATCAGATGGCCGGGCATGCGCGATTACAACACGACAGGGTGCCACCCGGCCTCAGGACGCCTGGGCATGCGCGATGACGACGCAGGAGCCCCCGAGTGGAAGCGCTGGTATCGGTACTCAGTATCGGTGAGCACCGGAAGCAAGGTATCAATACTCGATACCGAAAAAACGGTATTGGTGCACCCCTAATAAAATAGAATAGCCGCAGCGGGAGATTCCTCCATCCGCATGGTATAGCGTGACGGGGGGAATCTGTTAGATGTGTTTAGTTCATCCTGTGTATGGCCGGCTCAGGCGTGAACCCGTTTTATATCCAATCAGCCCCAATTTAACCCAATCAGCCCTCATACTACATTGTGATTGGTGGATCTCCCGGAGATTGTACACTTAGATTGTATGGTGTGTGGCCGGTGTAACACTTCCTCATACCATTCTCCTAGCCCGGGGTTAGGCTCGCCCCATGAACAGATGAAGAGACACAATACAAGTACAATATCCGCCATTCATAGAGAAGACGACGGGAGGAAGCGACATATTCAGCGGAATCTTTTATTGATCTCTCGGAAGTTTCCTGAAGAACAGACATGTGGTTACAATGTATTCACTTCTACAAGTTACTTCTATTGGCCGGTCGAAGCGTCACAGACAACATGAGACATTGGATCTCTGTACATGGCACATACGGTACAACACCCGGTCTTCATATCTCTACATACATGTCACTCATAGAGGAAGTATAGACAGGAAGTGAGGTAACAGGTCTTGGCAGGATGGCGCTGACTTTCCTCTGCTGGTTGCCCGGCAATGGCAGTGTGACGGATAAAGAAATAAATTTTTTCCTGTATAGTTTACATTGTATTCCATTTCTCTTTGGCTACAGAGCAGAGGTGGCCAAACCTCGCCCCTCCAGCTGTTGTGGAACTACTAGTCCCATGAGGCATTACGAGACTCTGACAGCCACAGGGATGACTCCGTAGAGGTGGGGACAAGATGAGATCTGTAGCTTCACAACAGCTGGATTTTGGGTACCCCTGTTCTAGAGCAGCCTTTCTCAACCGGGGTGCTGTGGCACACTGGGGTGCCTTCAGGCTTTCGAAGTTTTCACACAGCACCCTGCTGTCTGATGTGAAAGAGGGGGGACTCTGATGTGAACGAGCGGGGCTCCTGATGTGAACGAGCGGGGCTCCTGATGTGAACGAGCGGGGCTCCTGATGTGAAAGAGGGGGGTTCCTGATGTGAATGAGCGGGGCTCCTGATGTGAATGAGCGGGGCTCCTGATTAGGGTTGACACCTTTTCTTCAAGCGAAACCCGAACACTGTAGCGACGCACGGTCATTTTTTGGAGAGAATGCACAGCGGCTTATTTATATGTAAATATTACAGTCGGAAATATTTTCAGTGGGGGCGGGGAGGGAGGGGGGCAGTAGCCCATATTTTAATTTTGGTTGCCCCTGTCCGCCTGACATCTTCTGTCCTGGTTTCTGCTGCCATGAATCCCAGACACAGCATTCATTCACACTGTCCGGGTGAATCCTGGACAGGTGCCAACCCTACTCCTGATGTGAATGAGGGGGACTCTGATGTGAATGAGGGGGCTTCTGATGTGAATGAGGGTGACTCTGATGTGAATGAGGGGGCTTCTGATGTGAATGAGGGTGACTCTGATGTGAATGAGGGGGCTTGTGATGTAAGGGGGAGCTCTGATGTGAAGGAGGGGCTCTGATGTGAATGACGGGGCTCCTGATGTGAATGAGGGGTACTAAGATGTGAAAAAGGGGCTTCCGATGTTAATGAGGGGAACTCTGATGTGAATGAGGGGACTTCTGATGTGAAGGGGCTTCTGATGTTAATGAGGGGGACTCTGATGTGTATGAGGGGGACTCTGATGTGAATGAGGGGGACTCTGATGTGTATGAGGGGGACTCTGATGTGAATGAGGGGGACTCTGATGTGTATGAGGGGGACTCTGATGTGAATGAGGGGGACTCTGATGTGTATGAGGGGGACTCTGATGTGAATGAGGGGGACTCTGATGTGTATGAGGGGGACTCTGATGTGAATTAGGGGGACTCTGATGTGAAGGGGGACCCTGATGTCAATGAGGGGGGACCCTGATGTGAATGAGGGGGCTTCTGATGTGAATGAGGGGGCCTCTGATGTGAAAGGGGGTGCTGACGTCAAGGGGGAACCCTATGGGTTATTTTGTGTTTTTGCCTGGGGTCCCCACTTAAACTCTTTACCAGACACCTATCTAGGACATGTTGTTTTTTTACATTTTACACTGGGGGGCACCTCAAGATTTTGCATACTTTTAGAGGGTGCCGTGACTGACAAAAGGTTGAGGTTGAGAAACGCTGCTCTAGAGTATTGTTCTCTCACATGACATGTGACAGGTTCCCTTTAAACACAGGAAATATACATAACTGGGATCACAATGAACTGCAACACAAAAACAATTTGCCCCAAAAACGATTAACATTCACATATACCCCATTAGACTGTTCCCCTCTCCTCCCCCCCCTCTCCCCTCCCCCTAAAAAAAACAACAACCTGCCATGCAAAAAAAACATAGTGCATGCTAACTTATTGATCAATGTTCATATCATATAACAGATTCGGATTACTAATTCATCAGTATAAAGGACAGGTCTGGTGTTCAGTAAACTATTGCACTAACCCCTCCCCCAAGCTTGTAACCTTATAACAGGAAGTGCCTAAACAAAGAGCTTTATGGCAGGATCACCGGGTATTATTTGGAGCCTTTCTGAAGCTACTCTGCACTAGCCCCGCCCACCTAGCTGCCTACTTACCTCTGTAACACTGCTGCCCATTGACTGTCATGGGGATGTATCCTGAGACTGGAGATCCTCTGTATATGGGTCCATTCAAGACAAATTGCACAGATGTATGTAAGTAAGTAAGCAGCTGGGAGAGATGGGGGGGGGGGGTAATGCAGATAAGCTTAGAAGGGCTGCAAATAATACCTGGAGATCCTGCCATAAAAATCCTTGTTTAGGCACTTCCTGTTATAGTGTGACAACTCTGTCTTTATTTCTCAATGGCACCCCCACTGTTGTCACCATCAGAAAAGCCATGCAGCCATCGCTGGAGTGCATGCAGGCAGGGAGGTGTGCTGCAAAAAGGCTGCAGGAGATCATTTAAAGAGCATCGCTATCCAGAGTCATTGTTGATGACACGCAGTGCTTTAGCAGACGTAATGTCATTGAGCTTGAGTTGAGATCGATCATTTTGACACGTCGGGTTCCATCGGCAGTTCCATCACCGGTCACCTAGGTCCGAATTCTCACCCAGGCACCGTCATCTACAGTGAAGGCGGCATGAAGGGGCTCGGTGAAGTCCGCCCTGAAAGTGTGCAAATGGCTGATGGGGTTGCTGAGCTGATAGAAGGACAGCTGGCCGGCGTCGTAGTCCAGATATACCAAGAACCTGCGGCAGGTGGATTCGGCGTCCACGGGGCTTTCTACGAAGTTATGCTTCACCGAATATTTGCCGTTGGATTTTTGGAGGCACCAGGATTTGTCGTTGATCCCGATGTAGGAGAGGTGTCCTGTCCTTTCTATGCTGGGATAGGCCACCCCTATCATCCAGTCCCCGGTGCCACTGGCCTCCACCTCCCAGGCGTGCCGGCCGATGGAAAAGCTCCTGCCGCTGAGCGCCTGTGGGCAGTAGAACTTTTCCGGGTTCTCCGGGCGAATCGCGTTCGGACTCGACTTGCACATGGTTTTCCCGTCCCCCAAAATGAAGACGAAGTCCCCCGCGGTTTTGGCGTTGAAAGCCAGATCGGAGGACTCCGGAACGTAAAAGCCCCGCCTCACTTTGTTGACGATCCGCAACAGATTCCTGTGCAGAGTCACGAGGACGAAGACTTCGTCCAGTTCTTGCCCATCCGGTTCGTCGCTTATTTTCCTCGCGGCCTCCTGCGCCAGGCAAGCGGTGGAGTTGTCGAACTTCTGACCCCGCATGACCTCCAGCGGGTCGGCCGTTCGGCACAGCTCCTCCGTGTAGGATATCTGCTTGGAGAGAGTCTCCATCTTGACCTCCAGCTCTTGGACCTGCTGGCGGATGGAGTCCGTGACCTTCTGCCGCCGCTCGCGGACCTCCTGGACCATCTGCCTCTCTAGAGCTTCCAGCTGCTCCCTCATGTCCGTAAAGAAGGACGACATGTTGTCGGCGATCGCCGTTCCTTTAATGTCGGCGTCGGTGATTTGCTCCTGCAGTCTCTCCATCCTTTTCCGGGTCCTCTCTTCCCTCAGCCGACGTTTCCTCAGAGCGTTCTCCAGCTTCTCCTTCTGCTTCTCGGAAGCGTCGAGGAGAGTCTCCGCCGCGTGCCCCTTGTGGTCTCCGACGACCAGGCAGTGGTGACAGACGGTGGAAGCGTCCTCGGAGCAGTAGTGGGTCAGGGGCTCCATGTGGACGGGGCACTTCCTGTCATGAAGGGAGTCCGTGGGTTCGCAGAGGTCGTGTTCACTGGAACTGGTGTGCACCTGCAGGTGCTCGGGGCACATGGAGGCGTCGCAGGTCCTGCAGGTCTTGGCGGCAGGTACCTGGGAGCGGATGCAGTAGGTGCAGAAGACGGGACCTCCCGCGGGCCATCCTGGAGAGATCTGACCTGCACCTGGTCTGCCCCTCAGTGTCACGGTACGAATGCGGCGTGTCGGCTCTCGGAGATCAGCCGATGTCATCGTGGAAGAGAGCTGAGAGCAATTAACCTGCAAGACAATGTGCTGCTGCTAGAAATACACCAGAATCTTGCTCTTCCTCATACTGCAGGAAAATCAGGGATTTCCCCTTCAAAGCTGGGACTTTCCTGCATTAGAATCACAAAGACACGAAGAAAACATTATTTCCTGCCCTGAAGTGGATACACTTTTGATGGCAGATAATAGTCGTCACAATTGGTCCCTGAAATAATAAAAAAGAGACTTATTACAGTATCAAGAAAAGAGACTTATTACAGTATTAAAAAAAGAGTCTTATTACAGTATCAAGAAAATAGACTTATTACAGTATCAAGAAAAGAGACTTATTACAGTATTTAAAAAAAGAGACTTATTACAGTATCAAGAAAAGAAACTTATAGTATCAAAAAAATTTTTATTACGGTATCAAGAAAATAGACTTATTACAGTATCAAGAAAAGAGACGTATTACAGTATTAAAAAAATATTTATTACAGTACCAAGAAAAGAGACTTACAGTATCAAAAATAGACTTATTACAGTATCAAGAAAAGGGACTTATTACAGTATTAAAAAAAGGAGACTTACATTATCAACAAAAGAAACTTGTAGTATCAAAGAAAAAGAAAATTATTACAATATCAAGAAAAAATACTTATTACCGTATCAAGAAAACAGACTTATTACAGTATTAAAAAAAAGACTTATACATGTGGTCTTGGATTCGAAAGACTCGGAATAAAGTCTTGTTGCACCCCCAAATCCCAGGAGGCTGGGTAAGCGGGTAGTGCCCACAGTTGGCCACTCTCGGTACGAACTATAATCCTTCTCTCCACTGTATCTGCCTTTTCTACCTGATATTGGTGGCTGCGCCCACCTGTAAGCTGATGTTTGTGAACTGATGTTGGTTCCTTATTTGTGTTTTATATTTGCACTGCTCAATAAAAAATAAGAATAAAAAAAAAGACTTATTACAGTGTCAATAAACTTATAGTATCGAAAAAATAAATGTATTACAATAACTTATTACTTGGATTTTATTTCTTTGATTTTCTTTTTCAATAAGTTCACTTGTTGACTCGTAGAGGCTCCATATCAGGTAGGTGCACACGATTGAACATTTTTTATTTGAACTCCGAGAATGGTTGTACGAGGCGTTTCTTGGATGTTACTTTGTACCCTGTTTGTGAAATTTCTCTCTTAGTCACTCAGATCTTTAAAATGTCTACTAAAGATTTATTGGAAGAAGAAGAAATTTACTACGAGTGTAAAAGAATACAGAACAAGCGGCACCACTGAAGAAGCGTGGAAGAACACAAGGACAGGCTACACCACGCACCACCAAAATGACCCCTAACAATGCACAGAAAGAGGGAAATTTATCAAAACTGGAGCAGACACATCTGGAGCAGTCGCCCACGGCAACCAATCAGCTTCTATCTCTCATTTTCAAAGCTTAACTGAACAAACTAAAGAGAGAAGCTGAGTGGTTGCCATAGACAACTGCTCCAGATTCTCTCCACTCCAGTTTTTATCAGTCCCTCTACATGGGGGACAGTTGGGAGGTAGTTGTATACCCCAAACATGGCTTCTATATTCGGCTGAAGGGTGGACGCGTTTCCAGAAGCTGCTTTGTAGTTGGTAGGAGGAGACGCGTTTCGCAGAGCTAAGTCTACTTTTTCAGAACGTATGGAGAGGTTCTGCAAAATATTCAGAAGAATACATCATTAATGTACAGTAACATCGTCTATGAAATAAAACATTCTTGCAGATGAATTCATTATTTCTATAGATTAGCTCACTTGTAGCAATATGACGTCACGTATACAAAAGGTAAATTAAGTAAAATATAACCCACACGAGTCATCTGTAATCAAAGCTTGCATTGTGCATAGGGGGGCATTTGCTTCAGGGCCAAAACACACATTCAATATGAATGGCACCCCAATGCACAGGCATAGCAGCGCACCACAATGCACAGTAACGCGCTACCATGGCGTTGTGGTGCTCTGAATTGCGCAAAATGGTGCCTATCCCTTTTTCTGATGTTTTGATGCATTGCCAGTTTGTATTAATGGGCTGCCTAAGGTAACACACATTAATGTGCAAAAATAGGCGTTTTAGCACACCAGGTTCTGAATGGGCCCTCGCTGTGGACCAATGTCACCAGGACTATGAGCAATGGGAATCCAAAACTTTGCAGTTGTCACCAAAGAAAAAGGTAGGGGGATATTGTTGCCATGGTGCTTATAATTATGACTTATTTGTGTGAGGAATTTGAGGTGGCAGTAGACACTTCATACACTGTAGTGAAATGGTGTCATAATATTACTGTAGCGTGGATGGTATTTTACCTCAGGCTCATTCTTTACTAGAAGAGTCTGAAATACCGTGACCCCGCCGCCATATTGGTAACTATGGAGAAGCGCAGAGGTCACACCCACACGCCCCTTCCCTAACAACCGCGTTCTCCGTGAAAGGGGCGTGGCCGGCCACTCTGCGCAAGCGCAGTATGCCGATCCGCCAACTGAAGGGCGCCGCTGGATTGTTGATTGCTTCGCTCGGACTTTACGGGCTCCGCGTGTCGTGCCACTGCCGCCCGGCCAATTACAAAGCTACCTGCGTGCCCAGCAGGTAAGAGTGTGTGCAACCCCCTCAGCGCCCTGCCAATCCAACACCGCGCTGTGCGTGACTGACACCTGTGCCAGCCAATCAGGTCCCGGATAGCTCATGGGTGGGGTGCTGCAGGTGTGACAGCTGTCGGTGGAACTACAAGTCCCAGGGAAAAAAGTGTGTATTGTTCACTATTTTGCGAAGCAGGGCATGCTGGGACTTGTAGTTGCATGTCAACTAGACAATATCCAATTAGCAGTGAGTGTCACAGGCCAGGGATCCATTTCAGCTCTCACCTGAGGAACTGCGCATGCTGCCCTTGCTGGTTGCTATGCTTTACCTTGCCATCCCTGCTGGTACCCATGGTTTACCCTGCCATTGTAGCTGGTTGCTATGGGCTACCTTGCTGCTTTACACTGTGAGCCTAGCTGGTTGCTATGGGTTACTCTGCTCTGTCCAGCCGTTGGCATTATAAACTAAATTGCATTATGTGCTTGGGGTGAAAACACACTCAGCAATCCAACTTCCTGTCCATCTGCTTTCTCCCCAGCTGTATCAACCATTTAATGGAGGGAACGCATGAATTATTGATGGTGGAACCCGTCCTTCTCATGTACACACCAGGCGGCTCCATAGTAAGATGGGCCCGGTGTGTATTACAATACGTGAACTCCACCCTGGGTGTGCTGAGCAGGAAACACTTGGTTTCTCTTTCCATGGAAAAATCTGCTTTCGTTCTTTCACAAAGTTTGTCCGTTTACATCCACAAAGTTCTGCTTTGTTTATATATATATATTTGTCTTTTTATTGTATATAGGTTTCATTTTATCAAAATATTCCCATCGGAAGGCAGCCAATCAGTCTCCCTCAAACAATGTTATTGGTTGCTAGGACACAGGTGGACCCAAGGATGCCAGCTTCCTAACAACCAATCAGGCTCGGCCATACAACGTCATTGGTTGCTAGGACGCAGATGGACCCAAGGATACCAGCTTCCTACCAACCAATTAGGCTTGGCCACACAATTTAATTGGTTGCTAGGACACAGATGGACCCACGGATGCCAGCTTCCTAAGAAACAATCAGGCTCGGCTACACAATGTCATTGGTTGATAGGACGCAGATGGATCCAAGGATGCCAACAACCAATCAGGCTCGGCCACGCAATGTCATTGCTTGCTAGGACGCAGATGGACCCACGGATGCCAGCTTCCTAGTAACTACTCAGGCTGGCCACACAACGTTATTGGTTGTTAGGAAGCAGATGGACCCACGGATGCCAGCTTCCTAACAACCAATCAGGCTCGGCCATACAATGTTATTGGTTGCTATGACGCACGGATGCCAGCTTCCTAGTAACCAATCAGGCTCGGCCGCCCAACGTTTTTGGTTGTTAGGACGGAGATGGACCCATGGATGCCAGCTTCCTAACCGGCCATACAATGTTATTGGTCGGATGCCAGCTTCCTACCAACCAATTAGGCCACACAACCTTATTGGTTGCTAAGATGTACGTGGACCCACGAATGCCAGCATCCTAGTAACCAATCAGGCTTGGCCACACAACGTCATTGGTTGCTAGGATGCAGATGGACCCAAGGATGCCAGCATCCAAGCAAACATTGGATCCTCGCCACACAGCGTCCATGAGCCTGTTCACAAGGCGGGCTTTGTGACAGCTTTAGGTCCATGTTTATGATATGTACTCTTCTAAAGGGTGTCTGCACCACTCCTTCTAAACTGCAGGAGGTGAGTCACTATAAGGAGGGGGCATGCATGTGCTTTGTGTGGGAGGCCTAATATCGATGGGACATGTAGTCCTGAGGGAGGTGGTCATGTGACCTTTTGTGTGACGTGCTCTTTTCTCACTACGTGGACGGTGACTCTCCCCGGCCTGGCTCAGGAAGAGAGGTGATCAGACCGGTTCTTCATTCACACAACCTCTTCCCGCACACTTTGTGCGTCACCTGTGCGTCACCTGGACTTTCCACTGTTGTCAGATTTCAGTGCTAAGTCAGAGCGACGAGGTGTGAACAGTGAGCATGATGGACGCCTGACGACTGTGAGAGAACCTGCAGAGGTGAGTGTCATGTCCATCGTCCTCCATCCATTACGAGTCCGTCCATGGAAACTGATATGTGATGCTGGAGAGTTAAAACCCCCGAAAGTCTCTTCTACCTCTTGGGGACTTTATTGATGAGATCTCTGCATTTCCAGGTCTGCTGTGCCGATTATGAGGGGCCCCCACCATCCCTGAGCTGAGTTCCCGGGTCTGTACACCCACTGTGCCCATTATGAGGGGCCCCCACCATCCCTGTGCTGAGTTCCGGGGTCTGTACACCCGCTGTGCCCATTGAGGGGCCCCACCATCCCTGTGCTGAGTTCCGGCGTCTGTACACCTGCTGTGCCCATTATGAGGGGCTCCCACCATCCCTGTGCTGAGTTCCGGGGTCTGTACCCCCGCTGTGCCCATTGAGGGGCCCCACCATCCCTGTGCTGAGTTCCGGGGTCTGTACCCCCGCTGTGCCCATTGAGGGGCCCCACCATCCCTGTGCTGAGTTCCGGGGTCTGTACCCCCGCTGTGCCCATTGAGGGGCCCCACCATCCCTGTGCTGAGTTCCGGGGTCTGTACCCCCGCTGTGCCCATTGAGGGGCCCCACCATCCCTGTGCTGAGTTCCGGGGTCTGTACCCCCGCTGTGCCCATTGAGGGGCCCCACCATCCCTGTGCTGAGTTCCCGGGTCTGTACACCTGCTGGGCCCATTATGAGGATCTCCCGTTCTCCATGTTGGATTCTTTGTTCACTTATTATAGAGAATTTAACAAGAGGAGTTGGAACACCCAAAACTCTCCGGTGATCGGGATCTGAGTCCTCAAAAGTTATAGGAAGTCAGTAGATGACTCCGCCCACCAGGTGACTCCACCCACCCAGCTCCAACTATGAATGGATTATCACTATGTGTGAGGGGAGGGACACTTTGAAGAGCCCGGTCACACGCTGAATCTATGGGAACGTCCACCATTCAGTGTGTTCTGTGCTTTTTCATTGACAGGAAACAAGTCTGTTGGATGTTTTTTTCCCCTGTGTTTCATTTGTGTGTCACAACCTCAACTTCCTGTCCCCCGCAGCCAGGAATAGACCCGTGTGATTGTTGGATCGGAGGCACGTGGATGGAGTGGCACAATCTGCCTCGTCTTCTTACCACGAGTTCCATCACAACTCTTGCAGTATTTGTAAGGTGCGAATGCAATCTATATGGCGTTTCAGCTATAGGCCAAGTCTGCGGGGGGGAGGGGATTACACACAACCCTATACCTAAACCCTGGGGACACCAACTGTGAGATCTCCCTCCATGCCTCTATTTTTACCCCCCTTGGAACTTTAGGGTTCCTTCCTCTCTTGATGTGTTCCACCGTTCCTTATGCAAATAGAAATATCCAGCAGAGATGCTGAGAACCCCTCATAATGGGCACAGCGGGTGTACAGACCCGGGGACTCAGCACAGGGATGGTGGGGGCCCTCATAATGGGCACAGCGGGTGCACAGACCCGGGAACTCAGCACAGGGAGGGTGGGGGGCCCTCATAATGGGCACAGCGGGTGCACAGACCCGGGAACTCAGCACAGGGAGGGTGGGGGGCCCTCATAATGGGCACAGCGGGTGCACAGACCCGGGAACTCAGCACAGGGAGGGTGGGGGGCCCTCATAATGGGCACAGCGGGTGCACAGACCCGGGAACTCAGCACAGGGAGGGTGGGGGGCCCTCATAATGGGCACAGCGGGTGCACAGACCCGGGAACTCAGCACAGGGAGGGTGGGGGGCCCTCATAATGGGCACAGCGGGTGCACAGACCCGGGAACTCAGCACAGGGAGGGTGGGGGGCCCTCATAATGGGCACAGCGGGTGCACAGACCCGGGAACTCAGCACAGGGAGGGTGGGGGGCCCTCATAATGGGCACAGCGGGTGCACAGACCCGGGAACTCAGCACAGGGAGGGTGGGGGGCCCTCATAATGGGCACAGCGGGTGCACAGACCCGGGAACTCAGCACAGGGAGGGTGGGGGGCCCTCATAATGGGCACAGCGGGTGCACAGACCCGGGAACTCAGCACAGGGAGGGTGGGGGGCCCTCATAATGGGCACAGCGGGTGCACAGACCCGGGAACTCAGCACAGGGAGGGTGGGGGGCCCTCATAATGGGCACAGCGGGTGCACAGACCCGGGAACTCAGCACAGGGAGGGTGGGGGGCCCTCATAATGGGCACAGCGGGTGCACAGACCCGGGAACTCAGCACAGGGAGGGTGGGGGCCCCTCATAATGGGCACAGCAGGTGTACAGACGCCGGAACTCAGCTCAGGGAAGGTTGGGGCCCCTCATAATGGGCACAGCGGGTGTACAGACCCGGGGACTCAGCACAGGGATGGTGGGGGCCCTCATAATGGGCACAGCGGGTGCACAGACCCGGGAACTCAGCACAGGGATGGGGGGAGCCCCTAATAATGGGCACAGCGGGTGTACAGACCCGGGGACTCAGCACAGGGATGGTGGGGGCCCTCATAATGGGCACAGCGGGTGCACAGACCCGGGAACTCAGCACAGGGATGGGGGGAGCCCCTAATAATGGGCACAGCGGGTGTACAGACCCGGGGACTCAGCACAGGGATGGTGGGGGCCCTCATAATGGGCACAGCGGGTGCACAGACCCGGGAACTCAGCACAGGGATGGGGGGAGCCCCTAATAATGGGCACAGCGGGTGTACAGACCCGGGGACTCAGCACAGGGATGGTGGGGGCCCTCATAATGGGCACAGCGGGTGCACAGACCCGGGAACTCAGCACAGGGATGGGGGGAGCCCCTAATAATGGGCACAGCGGGTGTACAGACCCGGGGACTCAGCACAGGGATGGTGGGGGCCCTCATAATGGGCACAGCGGGTGTACAGACCCGGGAACTCAGTGCAGGGATGGTGGGAGCCCCTCATAATGGGCAGCATGGGTGTGCAGTCATTTCCTGGTGGAAGTTTTAATGTGGTTCCGGCAATGTCAATGTCATTTGTCTTCATAAATTGGGCTCAGCATACGGTCCAAAGAGATATAACAATCTTAATATGATATACATCTAATATAACAATTTTTGATCTTTTGTTCTCCCTCCAGCATCGTATTTGCGTACTGGTACCACAACCGCAGTCGGCAGCCTGCCATGAAGGGTCACGTGAAGTCCCTTACCTCGCCATACCCAGGCTCGCAGGTGGAGAGGTGGCCGGTACCCCCCGGAAAGGTCAGCTGGTCAGTGGATTGGCCGGAGTATCAGCCGGTAGAGTACACGGCCCCCCCTGTGCTGTCACGGCCATTGTGGGCGGATCCTCCGCACAGGTGAGGCATCTAATGTGCAATTTGTATGTACAAAGCCCAACTCCCGAGCTCCAGGCAGCTTCCTCCTCTTGGAACTCTTTAGCTCAAGTATGGGGATTGGTAACGCTGAACTCCAAGCAAATATCGTGTTTTTTTTATTTATGGGACCGGGAGCGACGAGTATTACATCGCTTCCGGCCACTGAGCTGCCATTGCTCGGCTCCTGAATAAAATGTAAAAATAATTTTGACAAATTTTGCTCATTCACGCAAACAAACGTCTGGCGCACCTACGTACGAAAACGTCGATATTTATACGAATCTCTAAACTGATGACCTGTGAATTTTGTTGCCGTTTCACGGACGCACACAATTTTTAACCTGGGCATGTTGGGCATCTATTTACTCGTTTTAAACTCGTCTGCTATTTTATTTTATGTTTTATTTTTTTTAAATGGGTATTTTGTTTTGTGGCACTAAAATTAACTTAAAGGAGAACTATGGGGTCAGGGCTTTTCCCCATAGTTCTCCTTAGGGTAACGGCCCGGGAGGACACAAACTAGCGTCCACCCGTCACCCTAGGCTCAGTATATAGGGAGCTACAGCTCGCGGTATACTGAGACGCCGCAGCTGGAGCGGATCCCGACATCGATGTCGAGATCCGCCCAGCGGCGTGAGTGACAGCTGTCTCTGCCTATCTAGAGGCAGGGGTGTGGAATTCGTATCGCCCGACGCCCGGGACATGTAGTTCCGGGCGCCGGGCAAGACTCATAGTTCTCCTTTTTAAGTGCATTTAAAGAGTCGCGCCATTATCGTGCAACATAACATTTTGCAGCTGCCACCGTTTTATTCTACAGGGAAATGGCTTTCAGAAAATATACTTTATAATGTTTTGAGGGTTTGAAGTTATTTTCAGGCCTAAAAAGTGGATTATAACATGTGCATAAAACAAAAAAGGCCTTGGCAGCGAAGCCCCCTAAAGAAAAGTACTTGTGCAACAAATTTAAACATTTCGCCAACATCCATTATTAAAACATGAAAAAAGAAACCTGGACTTCATGTGGAGGAGGGGCAATGATGAGAAGACTGCTGGGGATGGGACCTCATATGGAGGGGGGTACATTGATGAGAAGACTGCTGGGGATAGGACCTCATATGGAAGTACATTGATGAGAAGACTGCAGAGGATGGGACCTCCATATGGAGGGGGTACATTGATGAGAAGACTGCTGGGGATGGGACCTCCATATGGAGGGGGTACATTGATGAGAAGACTGTTGGGGATTGGACCTCATATGGAAGTACATGGATAGGACCTCATATGGAGGGGGTACATTGATGAGAAGACTGCAGAGGATAGGACCTCATATGGAGGGGGGTACATTGATGAGAAGACTGCTGGGGATAGGACCTCATATGGAGGAGGGGCAGATGAGAAGACTGGTGGGAATAGGACCAGGATGAACATTTAAAGCGGCTCTGAGGGACGTATGAAAAGTTTCAAAGGACCACATGCGGCCCCTGGGCTGCGGGTTGAGCACCAGGGCATCAGTTTTTTGGGGTTATTGCACACTGCTCCCTGGGATGCTGAGTCGAATCATACTGACTGGCTCCTGTATTCGTCTTTCTGCCCCCGGGTTATTGCACGCTGCTCTCTGAGATGCTTTGTAAGCCGCTTTTATGTGAACTGTGGTAATTGTGTCTTGCAGCGAGGAAAGCTTCCACCCGAAGTACAACGCACTAGATGGCCCTGTGCAGAGGACGAGCTTTGAGGGGGTGTACCTGGTAGAAAACGGGAAGCCCAGGTAAGTGCATATAACAGATCTTGTTGTTGAAGTTGTCATCATATTTCACCTCTGATGTGTGTCACAATGTGTTATTGTCAGAAACCCCAAAGGACGGACGGGGGTGACGGGAAGAGGGTTACTAGGCAGGTGGGGACCCAACCATGCAGCCGACCCCATCATAACACGGTGAGTACGCATTTGATTCCTGCTCCACGATAGACGCACATTACGTTTCTTTTATAGCTCACACTTTTGAAGGTGAGACTTTGATAATGTTTCCTTTTTTTGGGGGTACAAATCCCAGTAATGAGTTGTCTCCCACTACAGGTGGAAGAGGAACACTGCAGGAGAGAAAAAGATAGACCCCCGGTCCGGGAAAGCCGTCTTACAGTTTGTGGCCATACAGAGAAAGGATTGTGGCCAGTGGGCTATACCTGGAGTGAGTACACGGCTATCAGACAGGCCGACTCTCACCTGAGATCACCTCATTGGACTGTAATGCTGATATCCTGTATACGATGCATGTTTTTTTTTTTATTACCTAATTGGAATGCAGTTTATGAAACTGTGACTAATTAAACACATACCCGGCAGGCTTAGTCACCTTTTATAGTCAGTTTATTACCCAATAAAAGACTGCAAGGAGGATCCATCATTTCACCTAGTGTCCATCCTTCTGAGGGCAGGGCTGATACCGCTGAGGTCAACTGTGTCCACCAATCAACTTTAAAGCTGACCTCCAGTCAGAACTACAAATGCACCATTGTAACAATGTTCTCTTAAAGGAGAACTATGGGGTCAGGGATTTTCCCCATAGTTCTCCTTAGGGTAACGGGACGACACAAACTAGCGTCCTCCCGTCACCCTAGGCTCAGTATGTAGGGAGCTGCTGCTCGCGGTATACTAAGACACCGCAGCTAAAGCGGATCCTGACAATTGTGCCGGGATCCGCCCAGCTGCGTGACTGACAGCTGGCTCTGCCTATCTAGAGGCAGAGCCAGCTGTACCTGCCCCCTCCCCCGTCCGTTCCGCCAGTCAGCGCTGGTGGATCGGAGCGGGGGGGGGGGCATCCAGCCCCTACCCTGTCACGGCAGAGAGCCGTGACAGGATCGAGAAGTGAGCGAGCGCCGGTATGTGTTTGCTCACCTCCCGATCTACTGAGCCGACCTGTGACAGTCTCATTGTCACAGGTCGGCTAGAACTATGAGGTGAGTGAAAAGCACCCCCTCATAGTTCTCCTTTAACTTAACCTTGAGTCCTTTTATCATATAGCACAACAGCCACTGTAATCAATAGTCTGTAATGTTCTGCTTTCCAGGGCTAACTCTCCCCAATGTCCTGTTTATAAGTGGCCGCTATGCTCTCCCATCGAGCGGGGCCACCAGTCATGTCACCCTCTGTGCCTTTTCCTGATCTGCAGTTATCTTGGGAGGACCTGGGCTGCTGAGTCTCCTACTCATCCACATCTGCATAAAGTCCACCTATTCTTTCTGCCCTCCTCCCCTGAACACACAGAGCCCACACCCCCCCTCCGCAGATGCATACTTACCGAGATCTCATTCACGTAGCCTCCTGCATTTTGTGTACATCCTGTGCTGAAGTCACTACTGGCCATGCCTGCGCAGTAGGGCCCCATAGACTTCTATGAGGCTCATCTATCTTCAGGGAGACGAGCCTCATCATCTAACTGCATTGCATAGAAAAGCAGAATAATGATGTCACTGGGTCTTACAGAACGTGTGTAAAAAATGTCATTGGCATGTTGATGAAGGAAGAAGGGGCGGGGGGTGGACTAGGGAAGGAAAAATATGAGATTATTATTATTATACCGAATTTATATGGAGCCAACAGTTTGCGCAGCGCTTTACACTATAAGGAAGACATTACAATCACAATACAATTCCAGACAAGATGGTAAGGAGGGCCCTGTCCCTGAAGGCTTACAATCTAAAAATGACACCCATGAGGCTCTGTATGTTCTCTGTAAGGATATCATTAATGGAATTGTCCTTTCCCTAACCCCCCATTTTCTTGCAGGGGATGGTGGATCCCGGGGAACTTTTTACAGCGGCGCTGCGAAGGGAATTCTGCGAGGAGGCACTGAACTCTCTGGAGAAGCGCGTAGAAGAGGGGGACACGCAGGAAAGGATTCAGAGCCTTTTCTCACAGGAGCATGTACCGGTATGTCACACCCTTAGATAAACAAGAGGTACAAGTGCTAACACTGGGCCAGGTCATATATGCCGTACCTAAAGTGAACGCATCACCAATGTTTTGTAGTCCTAACACAGGTCCTGTTGTACGGTGACAACGCTGCTCCTCCATGGATACAGTACAGTGAGTGGCCGCTGTCGCCCTAGGACAGGTGGTGGACAGGAAGTGTGTTACACTTTTGGTTTGGATACGCTTTAATGATAACTTGCTTTTAGCCTGCACTGTGTGCGGGGCCTACATGGTTACTGTTGCAGTTACGTCTGTTTGGCTTTTGTGCCATTACTCTGCTCCTTTTCTCTAATGATGGGGATTTCTTAGTAACTGGTGGGATTGGATGCAGTATTTGTCATTGTGAATAGTTGTTGCCTATATAGAAATACATAACGTTGTGTATCTCAATCTGTACCCAGCATGACGGAGAAACAGTGATATGAGCACCGCTGGTATTGGGACGCCTTTACACGCACATGAACTTTAATGGCATCCCAGTCTTAGTCCAAACCGCGGAATATTTATTAGCCAGGAAATGTCACGGAACACCTGAATCCAATGATTTTGAGGGGGAGGGGCGTCCCAATACTTTTGGCAATATAGTGTATGTGGTGTTGTCCTGCGTTTGATTAAACGACATTGTGCATTCCAGATCTACAACGGGTACGTGGATGACCCACGGAACACCGATAATTCTTGGATGGAGACACAAGCGGCCAATTTCCACGACGACACAGGTAGGGATACTGAAACCCAAATCCAAATCTTCCCTTGAGACGCTTCTCTCCACTGACGGCCATCTTTTTTCTTCTCCAACAGGCCACATATTGGATCAGCTTGCGTTGGAGGCGGGTGACGACGCCGGTAAAGTGCACTGGGTGGATATCAACCAAAATTGCAGCCTGTACGCCAGTCATTCCCACTTCATCCAGATTGTGGCTGAGAAGAGAGGGGCACACTGGTAGAGACCCCCATAGGGGATCATACTGGTCACTGGAGGCATCAATATGGCCAGTCTGCTATATTTACCACATTTTTGGCACGAACCAAAGAACTGACTTCAATGTTCCGTTTAACAAAAAAATATCGGTCTTAAAGTTGAGCTCCAGACAAAACATATTTTTGGGTAAGACGGGGAAGAGTTAGAACCTCTGACAGGTTTTTTATTGCTGCTCTTTTGTGGTGGTGCTGACTTGGATGTTTTAAGGGCAGGGGTAGGCAAACTCGGCCCTCCAATGGTTGTGAAACTACAAGTCCCATGAGGCATTGCAAGACTGACAGCCACAGGCATGACTCCCAGAGGCATGTTGGGATTTGTAGCTTAAACACTGCTGGAGTGGCGAGGTTGCCTACCCCTGTTTTAAGGTTAGTTAACACTTTGAGAAACCTGGACGCTGTTCACATGCAATGGGACTATCCAAGATGAGATTTCTTTTAATGTAAGCCGGTATTTTGGTAACGACAGGCCAACATGTTTCAGGGACTCAGATACCCTCTTCTTCAGGGCTGGAGCAGAAGATGGTATCCATCAATATAAACCAATAGCAAAACAGTTCTCAGCCACATTAGACAAACTGCTGTTGGTTTATATTGGTGTATTCTATCTTGTGCTCCATCCCTGGCGAAGGAGGTATTTAGGACTCCAGTCTGTGACGTATTAAAGTGGAAGTAAACCCGCCAATTTTAACCGTTCCCAAAATCTGTTACATTCAAAGCACACCTCTGAGAATAACTGTTACAGTTACCAGTGAATCAACTAGGGATGCACTGATGCCGATACTGCTATTGGTGCCGATACCGAGTATTTGGGCGAGTACTTGTACTCGCCCAAATGCTCTGATACCGGAACTTCGGGTCAGAGGAAGATTTCTCAGCCAATCAGCATAGAGCCAGCTTCCCAGCCAATCAGGAAGCCGGGACGCGGGTAATGACCCGCCTCCTGGGAAGCCGGTATCAGTACTCTGTATCAGCGAGTACTGAAATATAAATATCTGTACTCGATGCTGAAAAAACGGTATCGGTGCATTCCTAGTATCGGTGCATTCCTGGTATCCACTTACTACCTAACTTTCAAGCCTGCAAAAGGCTGATGTCATAGCTGATCACGTGTGCAGCGCCATGGTAGGTGCGGCTCTTGATAGAAGCTAAGATGGCGTCGTCTTCAGCTGTAAAGGAGAGGAGACTTTACTTTCTCTTGAACTGTCTTCATTCCAAGGAGCCCCTTTTTTACATTCTTATTCTTGCAACACAGTCAAAAAATATTTGTGTTTTCTGTCCATCCAGTCCTGAGATTTATGTATCTGCCACACAGCATAGTCCTGTCTGGAAGCAGTGGAGACCTGTTATGTTTTTCTTCAGTACCACTTTCAGGTCTTGTCCATCCCCGAGCCTGTGATTGGTCAGTGAGAGGAGAAGCAGCAGACTGACTAGCCCTTCTCTCTGTCTCTCTCCTCTCACATTCTATCAGCATGTTACCTGTTAACACATGGGCACTGTTGTGCTGCTTGTCCCTCTCTGTCTGAGCTCTGCTGTACAGGGACTGCTAGAGGCTGATTATAAGACAGATTCCGTTCCTCACACTACTTATAATAAAATGCATTTAATGATGACAGAGCTGAATTAACGTTTGTCTTGTATATCTGCCTGGAGTCCAGCTTTACATGACCGCACTTATGCAAATTTCCTTTTTCGTGGCAAGAATGGTTCTATGTTACCCAGAATATGAGTCTTTTGTGTGATATACCCCAGTATGAGGGTCTTTAGTGTTTGTGCTGTGATGGTTCATGTGCGGCTGCTGCGAACGAGCGGCGGATCACTATTTTGCGTCTTAAGCTTAGCCCATTGACCAGTGTGAGGAAAGCGGCCAAACACGGCGCTCCTGCACTTTGGAGTTAACGGCTGTGTAACCTGACGGAGAATTTTCCATCTGTTCTTGGCAGGCAGGAGAAATAATGTATTTTGCAACCTTTGGGCCGGGACGTAATAAAATATTCTGTAAAGGAAATGTTGTCTGTGACTTTCTGTTCTCTTCTCTGGTCGTAAAGCAGCACAAGAGGCTGAATCGCATGGCTGGCCTTTGCAGGCCGAATCAATGCAGAGATCGCTTATTGGCTTTTGCGATGCCGTGGCTGGTCGACATATCTGTATGCCTTTTCCAGACAAGGGGCAGCATGACAGCCAGGAAAGTAGCATTTGCAGAATGAGAGATGTCAATGGCAGCCTTTATGTCTCCTTTAAAGGTCACCTTTTAAATCTCGGTATGGCAGGAGGCTACGTGGCGACCGGAATGCCGGATCTGGAAAAAAAAAAAAGGTTTTGCCTAAAGATACGCTTTAATGGCATGCGCGGTTCCTGCTCCGCACCGCCCTCACGTATAATAAATCATGGTCTTATCTCCATATCGGCTGCCCACTGCTGCTATATTCCACCTCCTCTATATAGGCTGCACCAGGGATGGGCAGGGAAAAGCCAAAACTCCCTGACCCTAGGCTGCCGCCCAAACAGGTTCTGTCCATGTGTGATCAGGTGAGCGGGCATATACCTGCCCAAGAATGCAGGTGGGTGTGTTTGTATTCGAGATAGGGAGTTAACCTCTCAGCTGCCTGGGAGCAGCCTGTTTCTTCTGCACAGGGACCGTGAGAATCGGCTCCAGGAGGTTTGACATCACACCTGAGCCCCGTGACATCAGAAGAGTTCAGTGTCCAGCGCTGGGAGCTCTGCAGAGCTGACACACTGCTGGCCTTAAACTGCTGATTCTGTTCTTTTATCCTGCTGATGCTCGGCATTCCCTTCCAGTCCGGAGAGCAAGCAGAAAGATGGCAAAATACAGTGCCGGGACAAATACAATGTGGCGTGTTTGCAGTGTACTGAGAGAGAGGCCAGGGGCAGATACGCTGTGACCAGAGAGGGTAGAGGAGACGGTGCCCTGCCAGGAGAGGAGCCAGGAATCTGTGCCAGGAAAAGGACTGGAATTCTGTGCCAGTAAAGGAGCCATAAATCTGTGCCAGGAGAAGAGCTGGAATTCTGTGCCAGGAGAGGGGCCAGAAATCTGTGCCAGGAGAAGAGCTGGAATTCTGTGCCAGGAGAAGAGCTGGAATTCTGTACCAGGAGAGGGGCCAGAAATCTGTGCCAGGAGAAGAGCTGGAATTCTGTGCCAGGAAAAGGACTGGAATTCTGTGCCAGGAGAAGAGCTGGAATTCTGTGCCAGGAGAGGGGCCAGAAATCTGTGCCAGGAGAGGGGCTGGAATTCTGTACCAGGAGAAAAGCTGGGAATTTACCAGAAGACCTGGGAATCTGTGACAGGAGAGGAGCTGACTTTTCTTCCAAGGTAAGGAACCAGTACAGTGTACCAGGGAAATGAGAGGGTATCGTGATCTAAGAGCACAGCAAGTGCCCAATATCGGGACACTAGGCTGCACTCTACTAGAAGAGGAAAAGGTATCCAGTGCCAAGACAGCACAGATGTATACAATCCGATATGAGAAGAGAATGTGCCCAGTGCCAGGACAGTACCAGAAGAGAAGGTACACAGTACCAGGACAGTATAGATGTGCACAGCCCAGCACCAGGATGGTATATGTGTGTGTGTATAATATATATATATGGGACAGTATAGATGTACACAGTCTTGTACCAGGAGTGAAGGCAACCAGTACCAGAAGAGAAGGTGCTCAGCGTCATGACAGTATAGATGTACAAAGTCTGATACAAGACAAGAAGATACATAGTGCCAGGACAGTATAGATATACACAGCCCAGTACCAAACGAGGAGGTGCCCAGTGTCAGGACAGTACCAGTAAAGAAGGTGCCCAGTGTCGGGACAGTACCAGAAGAGAAGGTACCCAGTGCCAGGACAGTATACATGTACACAGTCCAATAAGAGAAGAGAAGGCACCCATGCCAGCACAGTATCAGAAGACATGGTGCCCGGCAACAGGACAGTATAGGTGTACACAGTCCAGTACCAGGAGAGAAGGTGCCCAGTGCCAGGACAGTATACATGTACACAGTTGGAACCAGAAGAGAAGGCACCCAGTGGCAGTTAAGTACCAGAAGACATGGTGCCCGGCAACAGGACAGTATAGGTGTACACAGTGCAGTACCAGGAGAGAAGGTGCCCAGTGCCAGGACAGTACCAGGAGAGAAGGTGCCCAGTGCAAGGACAATATAGAGGTACACAGTCCCATAAGAGAAGAGGAGGTACCCAGTGCCAGGACAGTATACATGTACACAGTTTGGTACCAGAAGAGAAGGTACCCAGTGGCAGTCCAGTACCAGGAGAAATGGTGCCTGGCACAGGACAGTATAGGTGTACACAGTCCAGTACCAGGAGGGAAAGTGCCCAGTGACGGGACAGTATAGCTATACACACCCGAATAGGGTGTTCAGGGGCTTGGAGGGTTTTAATACCTTTATTTTCGACGGAGACCAGTGAATGGCACATCATCAACTTTTCAACTTATTTAAGGTTAACCAATACCCACCTGTGCAGATTGTATGTGTATAGACCTCAGACCAAAGCGAATATTGTTCCAGATGTGAATCCATTGACTGTACAAAACTCTATTCCTAACTACAGATCTGTATCCTATGTCTGCGGGTTCCCCAGGGTTAAAGTTAGTGAATCTATGACCAGCACATCATTACTGCACATCAAAAGATCATACGTGCTATTAACATGAATGTCATATACATAATGACAACAAACATTCTCTCATGTATGATTTGATGACGCGGATATTTTTAGGTACTGCAACCTTTTGATCCAGTAACCCATTTCAGTCCTGCGGGAGCCAATAAAATAATAAAATGTGGACCAACTACATGTTTATAGGCAACATTTACAGACTTTCAGCTAACTAATCAATTTTAACTAATAAAAAAAAACCAAAAGCAATTGAAATAGGTCAACACGACTAATGTGGTTTCCCCAAATTGAACTGAAAATACAACTTTTATTGACTTCTGCAGTCTCAAGCTGCCCACACACCTTACGACTATCGGCCGATTTTCGTATGCGATCGCGTTTTCATCCGATATTCGTAAGGTTGATGGTCAGTGTACAACTGCAAATACTGTACAATCGATCGACTTTTGACTAACCAGCAGGTTAGAAAACGTTGATCGATTTCGTACGATTTTCGCTAAGGTTGGTGGCGTTTCCGTACGTCCAAATTCGTATGATCCACACTGCACATGCGCAGACGGAAATACGTGCGGTCGATTACCGAAATTCGTCCAGGTGCTTCCTTCTAATTACCGCTGATACAACCTTGCAATGATCGGGGCAGGATGGGGCCGCCGTAGGAAAATCGTACGACGGTTCGATCGTCGGCTGAAAAGTTTCGTACTATAATCGTGCAGTGTATGGGTACCTTATGAATGATTCAACCCCCTAATCGGAATCCCTCACAAGATCACACATCTGCAGAACCATTGTTGTCTCAATTACACCTGATACAACTAATCAAGGGCTTCATAAATTACACCAGCTGTGCCTGAACTAGAACACATGAAATACCTGGACTGGCTCGGCCTTTGTCACCAATAACGGCATGTTAGAAATATGGCGAAGTCAAAAGAATGGTCAAAAAAAAGTTACGAGAAGAGACCATCGCCCTTCACAAACAAGGAACAGGATACAAAAAGATAGCGTAGGCACTGAATGTTCCGTTGGAAGCGTAGTACACAAGTTCAACGTTAAAGGAGAAGTATGAGGCGAGTGCTTTTCACTCACCTCATAGCTCTAGCCGACCAGTGACAATGAGACTGTCACAGGTCGGCTCAGTAGATCGGGAAGTGAGCGAACACATACCGGCGCTCGCTCACTTCTCGATCCTGTCACTGGAGAGAGCCGTGACTGGATTCCCCCCTCCCCGCTCCGATCCTCCAGCGCTGACTGGCGGAACGGACGGGGGAGGGGGCGGGTACAGCTGGCTCTGCCTCTAGATAGGCAGAGCCAGCTGTCACTCACGCAGCTGGGCGGATCCAGATATAATTGTCGGGAACCGTTTCAGCTGCGGCGGTCTCAGTATACCGCGAGCTGTAGCTCGCATTACACTGAGCTTTGGGTGACGGGAGAACGCTAGTTTGTGTCCTCCCGTTACCCTTAGACCTCGTTCACACCTGAACGTTTTGTAGCGCGTTCTACGCTCGACGAACGCTCTACAAAACGCTCAAACATGAAAATCCCATTGTTTTCAATGGGTCTGGTTCACACCTTGGCGTATTTCAGCCCGTCCCTAACGCGCTACAAAACGGCCCACGCCTGAAGAGGTACGTGTACTACTTTTTGGGCCGTTTTTGTTGCGCGTTTCCATTGGGATACAGCCAAGTAGCCCTCACAATTTTTTTTACCGCAAAACCGTGCGACAACCGCGCATATGCAATACGCCTAGGTGTGAACCAGGCCTTAGGAGAACTATGGGGAAAAGACCTGACCCCATAGTTCTCCTTTAAGTCCCTGTTCACACCTAGGTGATTTATTGCACGGATTTAGCATTCAAGTCTATTTGCATTCAGGTCTATGGAAGCTGTTCACACCTTTGCGATTTGCCGCGTGGTAGAAGTCGCCTGTCGCGCAAAAAGGTGCAGTATTATTTTCAGGCGGTTGTCGCGTGGTTTTGGTCTCATAGACATCTCTATGCATTGAAAACCGCGCGGTTTTCAAAGCAAAATCGCGCAAACGAAAGCGAGCGACAGTCACGCGAAAGCAGCTCAATAGCCTAGGTGTGGACCTAGCATAAATGCACAGTGGTTACACTACGGCCTCATTCACATGAGAAAAGGCCGGCACGTGCACGGCCGTATCGGGCAGCTCCCGGGAAGGCCAGGTGCTGCGTGTCATTGGTACTGGTGGGATTTGTAGAAGGAGGTTACAGCACACAAACCCAAGAATATTAGTGAACTGGAGGCCATTGCTCATGAGGAACGGGCTAAGATTCCTCAGGAACACTGCCAGGAGCTTGTGTCTGCATCTCATGTGCAGCACAAAACTTCTTTAATGGAAGAGACAAATGACATTATAACATCAGCAGTTTAAAGCCAATGCACAGCTCTTCTTCAGGCCAACAGATACAATACAAACTATTATAATAACAGCAAAATTAAATAGAAAATCCGAACAGAAATGAGAATAATTCAAATGAATGAACCCCTTACACCAGGGCTCGCAAAACCCCAGGTGCCAGGTCACCATGAAAAAAAAATGCCAAGTCAGCCGCGCCGTCACATTCAGTGGACTGATTTGAGGGACTCGGGAAATGATATAAATATATTTTCACGTTTTATTTGTAACTATTCAGCATCAGATTTTGTACATTGGGACATTTCTGCGCCATCACAGGGTGGAGGGCCAGGAAGGGGTTAACTGCTGGCACGTCTAACCTGCTTCCATCCTCTGTTCTCTCCATCAGCCTCGTCTCCGCCGCCGCCGTGTCCTCCGCAGATCCCATTGATGATCATTTTCTTCCACATCACTGCTGAGGTCACCTCGCTGCCTGGATCCGATCGGAGCCTCGCCGCCGCTGCCTGCCTGGAGCTCACCCCCTCGCCTCCGCTCCTCAACGCCACCCAGCCCCCAGCGTCATGCTGCCCTCATTGTACTACCTGGTGCCGGTCCTGGGGGGCTACGCCGCCACCTCCTATTACCTCCTGAAGAACCCTCACATTCTGCACAGGAGGAAGAGGCTGCCCTTTTATTGCCGCCACATCTCCCACCGAGGAGGTGAGTACACACCTGGCTGCAGGTAGGTAAGTGGTGGGTCATTTTGGTGTCACCCCCCTCTGATGGTGTCACCGTGTGCGGGCCGCACGCTCATGTGACACCACTGGTGTTCTCTGATTCACCACAGCTGCAGTGCCAAGGTTCCCTATCTTTGAATGAGACAATCAGTGTTAAGAACGGCTGATACCTTCAGCAGAGATCATGTGACCAAGTGCCAAGGCTTCTGTTGATATGGTCGGCACTGGAGGGAGCTCGGAGCAGCACATTGTCAGGTCTCCCCGTAGATTACTATTTACATTGATGTGTTCCGGAGGGATCCTGGACAGGGAGCACAGCAAAGGGAAGACGAGAAAGCAAAGCTCTGCATGATATGTACATGCGTTCAAAAAGCTTTAACGCATGGAGAAGAAGATGAAATGCTCTTTGCATTATTCTCTATGTGTGTCTTTCAGGAGCCGGGGAGAGGATCGAGAACACCATCGCAGCGTTTGACAAGTAGGTCTGACACCGAGGAACCTGTTCCTGTTTTATGTGTTTGTCCTTATTCTGATCGAGCTTCTGCTGTAAAAACTGTGGTCCAGACCAACCAATCAGAATGTGGCTTGCAAAACCTTTTTTTGTGGTGACACCACACCACAGGAAATGACCCAACGGGGGTCACAGACAACAGGGATGTTGGTTAGATTCACTTTAATTCTGCTCATGACACATTAGTAATTTGTGATTCTGATGGGTTGTCATAGGGTGTAGGACTTTTTAGGCCTCTGCCACAGTCCAGTGAAGACTGTGTTAGCCCAGTTAGGTGACTACCTTTCAGCTTTTTTAGGCCTCTGCCACAAGCAAGCGTAGGACTCTTTATGCCTCTGCCACAGGCCAGTGTAGGACTCTTTAGGCCTCTGCCACAGACCAGTGTAGGACTTTTTAGGCCTCTGCCACAGGCCAGTGTAGGACTTTTTAGGCCTCTGCCACAGACCAGTGTAGGACTCTTTAGGCCTTTGCCACAGGCCAGTGTAGGACTCTTTAGGCCTTTGCCACAGGCCAGTGTAGGACTCTTTAGGCCTCTGCCACAGACCAGTGTAGGACTTTTTATGCCTCTGCCACAGGCCAGTGTAGGACTCTTTAGGCCTTTGCCACAGGCTAGGACTCTTTAGGCCTTTGCCACAGGCCAGTGTAGGACTCTTTAGGCCTTTGCCACAGGCCAGTGTAGGACTCTTTAGGCCTCTGCCACAGACCAGTGTAGGACTTTTTATGCCTCTGCCACAGGCCAGTGTAGGACTTTTGATACCTTTGCCACAGGCCAGTGTAGGACTCTTTAGGCCTCTGCCGCAGACCAGCTTAAGGCATTCAAGGCCCAGACGAGCATCTAGGCATTAACCCTTCAATGATTGGCCAGGACGAATATTTATAACCCAACACATTGTATCCTCTCCCTCTACTGGAGAGCACTGAGCAGTCACAGGCTGAAGCAATCAATGTCCTGGTCTTAGGAGAAACCCAACGATCCCAGATAACGTAAACAGAGCTCAGGCCGGCTACAGCCTAGCAGCCAACCCTAAATGTGGTCACTCCGGCTCAAGGCTCGGCCCCCCACACGGGTTCCAGCGGCAGCCGATGTACACATTGGGTATCAGTCACATACGTGTAATGACAGATCTGAACAAACACGGGGAGGCGCTGAGCTGTGTCACATGGACGCACGCCAAAAACCGATGCGGGAAACAAATGAGCGGAGGATTGTAAACCGCACTTGTGTGATGCCAGGAGTTACCGCCGCCAATTACAGCATCATGTTCTACATGGCTGGAGGATCAGGGAACGCTTACCTCAGACATGTGGCTGTGTGAGGCCTAAGAAACTTGCGTGCCAAGAGGAGAGCCTCGCCGCAGATTGGAGGCCCGTGACACATAGCTGGAATTTAGAAGGACAAGTTGGATAGTTAGTGCCCGGAGTCAGCATGCGGTACATGTGAAAAAAGTCATAATATGGCAGCGGCCTCCTACAGCTCTGTAGCAGTGTCTAGTAGTCACCTGTAACTTCACGGAACTTTCTGGTAGCCTCATTTAACTTGTCAGCAGCCTCTAGTATCTTTTTGTGACTTGGCAACGGTCTCTTGTAGCCTCCAGTAACTTGGCAAAAGCCTCTTGTAGCCTCCTGTAACTTGGCAGAAGTTTCTAGTAGCCTCCTGTAACTTGGCAGAAGCCTCTAGTAGCCTCCTGTAACTTGGCAGAAGCCTCTAGTAGCCTCCTGTAACTTGGCAGAAGTCTCTTGTAGCCTCCTGTAACTTGGCAGCAGTTTCTACATGTCCTCTGTAATTTGGCAGAAGTCTCTTGAAACCTCCTGTAACCTGGCAGAAGTCTCTAGATGTCCTCCTGTACTTTGGGAACAGTCTCTTGTAGTCTCCTGTACTTTGGGAACATTCTCTTGTAGTCTCCTGTACTTTGGGAACATTCTTTTGTAGTCTCCTGTACTTTGGGAACATTCTCTTGTAGCCTCCCATAATTGGCAGCAGCCTCTAGTAGCCACCTATAATTGGCAGAAGCCTCTAGTAGCCTCTGTTACTTGGCAGAAGCCTATAGTAGCCTCCTGTAACTTGGCAGAAGCCTCAAGTAGCCTCCTGTAACTTGGCAGCAGCCTCTAGTAGCCTCCTGTAACTTGGCAGAAGCCTCCAGTAGCCTCCTGTAATTGGCAGCAACTTGTGCAAGGTAACTGACTGTTGCTGGAGGAGCCAAGTTTAATAGCAAATTGCAAGTGAATAAAAAATATCTGACAAACAGGACGGCGGTAACTAGGAACGATGATTTCTGATTGGTTGTTGTGGGCCATGGTACTTTGCACAACGCTCTGTGCCTGTAGCTATGAATGGCTGTGGGGTGGGTGGGGTCTGTTTTATAAGGCAGCTTTGTAATTGGTTAAACCTTCCTGCCGTTGCAGTGCCGTGGCCAATCACACGGACCTCTTGGAGATGGACCTTCACCTGACGAAGGACGGGCACGTTGTGGTGTCACATGACGGCAGCCTGCTGCGGCAAACGGGGCACGACGTCAACATATGTGATGTCAATTACGAGGTAATAAAACTGTAACCGGATTGGTTTATTTGATATATTGCTGATAACTTTGCTGCAGTTGGGTGTTCTCTTGCTGTAAATATTTAAAGCTGAACTCCGGGAGCAGCAGACATTGTCCTCATACAAGAGTCCTGTGTATTTCTTCCAGATCTGTGCACTGTGTCCAGTAATCCAGTGTGAGACTGGGAGCTTCCTGTAATAAAGACCGCTCGCTGCTTCTCTCTCGCCTTGTGCAGGGTGACTGGTCTTGTCTCCGCCCCCTCCTGTAATAAAGACTTGATGTGCCATGTGCTTTCTGTGATATATATTTTGTTCTCTTTTCCTTCCCATCAGGATCTTCCACAGTATAAGGAGACTCTGGAGGTGACCTTCCTACCAGGTATATCCGGACTTTACCTTATTATCCAGCTCACCTAACTGAATAAATAAACCACATTTATAATCTAAATTCTTTTAAATATGCATTTGCCTTCCAAGAGTATCCGTCACCACAACCACCAATACTGGACCCTTAACCCCTAATCCTGGACCCTCAACCCCTAATCCTGGACCCTCAACCCCTAATCCTGGACACTTAACCCCTAACCTGGACCCTCAAACCCTAATCCTGGACACAACCCCTAATACTGGACCCTCAACTCCTAATCCTGGACCCTTAACCCCTCATTCTGGACCCTCAACCCCCTAATCCTGGACACAACCCCTAATTCTGGACCCTCAAACCCTAATCCTGGACACTTAACCCCTAACCTGGACCCTCAAACCCTAATCCTGGACACAACCCCTAATACTGGACCCTCAACTCCTAATCCTGGACCCTTAACCCCTAATCCTGGACCCTTAACCCCTAATTCTGGACCCTCAACCCCCTAATTCTGGACCCTCAACCCCCTAATCCTGAACCCTTAACCCCTAATCCTGAACCCTTAACCCCTAATCCTGAACCCTTAACCCCTAATCCTGAACCCTTAACCCCTAACCTGAACCCTCAACCCCTAACCTGAACCCTCAACCCCTAATCCTGACCCTTAACCCCTAATCCGGCCCTTAACCCCTAATCCTGAACCCTTGTCTCCTTACCTGAACCCTTAACCCCTAACCTGAACCCTCAACCCCTAACCTGAACCCTCAACCCCTAACTTGAACCCTCAACCCCTAATCCTGACCCTTAACCCCTAATCCGGCCCTTAACCCCTAATCCTGAACCCTTGTCTCCTTACCTGAACCCTTAACCCCTAACCTGAACCCTCAACCCCTAACCTGAACCCTCAACCCCTAACTTGAACCCTCAACCCCTAATCCTGACCCTTAACCCCTAATCCGGCCCCTAACCCCTAATCCTGAACCCTTGTCTCCTTACCTGAACCCTTAACCCCTAACCTGAACCCTCAACCCCTAACCTGAACCCTCAACCCCTAACTTGAACCCTCAACCCCTAATAACCTTCCTACCAGGTATATCCGGACTTTACCTTATTATCCAGCTCACCTAACTGAATAAATAAACCACATTTATAATCTAAATTCTTTTAAATATGCATTTGCCTTCCAAGAGTATCCGTCACCACAACCACCAATACTGGACCCTTAACCCCTAATCCTGGACCCTCAACCCCTAATCCTGGACCCTCAACCCCTAATCCTGGACACTTAACCCCTAACCTGGACCCTCAAACCCTAATCCTGGACACAACCCCTAATACTGGACCCTCAACTCCTAATCCTGGACCCTTAACCCCTAATTCTGGACCCTCAACCCCCTAATCCTGGACACAACCCCTAATTCTGGACCCTCAAACCCTAATCCTGGACACTTAACCCCTAACCTGGACCCTCAAACCCTAATCCTGGACACAACCCCTAATTCTGGACCCTCAACCCCCTAATTCTGGACCCTCAACCCCCTAATCCTGAACCCTTAACCCCTAATCCTGAACCCTTAACCCCTAATCCTGAACCCTTAACCCCTAATCCTGAACCCTTAACCCCTAACCTGAACCCTCAACCCCTAACCTGAACCCTCAACCCCTAATCCTGACCCTTAACCCCTAATCCGGCCCTTAACCCCTAATCCTGAACCCTTGTCTCCTTACCTGAACCCTTAACCCCTAACCTGAACCCTCAACCCCTAACCTGAACCCTCAACCCCTAACTTGAACCCTCAACCCCTAATCCTGACCCTTAACCCCTAATCCGGCCCTTAACCCCTAATCCTGAACCCTTGTCTCCTTACCTGAACCCTTAACCCCTAACCTGAACCCTCAACCCCTAACCTGAACCCTCAACCCCTAACTTGAACCCTCAACCCCTAATCCTGACCCTTAACCCCTAATCCGGCCCTTAACCCCTAATCCGGCCCCTAACCCCTAATCCTGGACCCTCAACCCCTAATCCTGGACCCTCAACCCCTAATCCTGGACCCTCAACCCCTAATCCTGGACCCTCAACCCCTAATCCTGGACCCTCAACCCCTAATCCTGGACCCTCAACCCCTAATCCTGGACCCTCAACCCCTAATCCTGGACCCTCAACCCCTAATCCTGGACCCTCAACCCCTAATCCTGGACCCTCAACCCCTAATTCTTTACCCTTAACCCCTAATACTGGACCCTTAACCCCTAATACTGGACCCTTAACCCCTAATACTGGACCCTTAACCCCTAATACTGGACCCTTAACCCCTAATACTGGACCCTTAACCCCTAATACTGGACCCGTAATCCCTAATACTGGACCCTCAACCCCTAATACTAGACCCGTAACCCCTAATCCTGAACCCTCAACCCCTAATCCTGAACACATAACCCCTAATACTAGACCCATAACCCCTAATACTGGACCCTTAACCCCTAATCCTGAACCCTTAACTTCTAATCATGGACTTTTAACCCCTAATCCTGGACACTTAACCCCTAATACTGGATCCTTACCCTCTAACCTTGACCCTTAACCACTAATCTGGACCCTTAACCCCCAACTTGAACACTCAACCCAAAATCCTGGATCCTTAACCCCTAACCTGGACCTTACCCCTAAACCTGGGCCCTTACCTAACATCTAAAAATGAACCCCTTCCCACAACATAACCCCCTAACTTTCTGCCAAAAAGTAAACATCCCCTTAAACTGTATAATTTCATTATCAGCCACCGAACTAAGTCAGCACTCCCTGGGCTTGCGTGGGGTGCATTGTGTGTCATGACTAGTGTGATGTATGGAATAGATGAAGGCAGGTTTCCTTTCTGTGAGCTTGCTACATTGTCCTCATCCCGACCACATTCCAATACTTTCCTGTAATAATGTCAAAGTTTTCATTATTTGGATGGTGAGTTTTTCATGCAGTGTGGCCACTATAAAATTGTACAATGTGATTGAATAGAAAAGATTGTAAGATGGACCCGTCATCAATTCTGATTGTACAGCCCGACACAGAGAGAGCAATATACAGAGTCATGCGATTACCCCGACGCGTTACAGGGAACACTTCCAGCCCGCTGTGTAAAAATTGCATCAAATGTAACCCCACTTGAGATTACTGTACAGAAGGTCTTGGGACACGCTAGCAGACGGTGAGAAGTCACATGACCTGTGCCGTTACGGCTGTTCACATGTTCATATTTTTCAGGTCACATGTCATCGGGAAATGACCGCCAAATCCCGCAGCTGGAGGAAGTGTTCCAGAGATACCCCGAGATGCCCATCAATATAGAGATAAAGACAGACTGTGACGAGCTGATTAAGAAGGTACGTGTTGGTGTGGTCACTGTGCCACTGTGTGGTCAGGTCATGTGGTCAGGTCACCTATACCGTGGCTCCTGTAGGTGTCAGATCTGGTGAACAAGTATCAGCGGACAGAGAGGACCATCTGGGCCAGCACCAGCAATCCGGTCATGAAGAAATGTCGGAAGGAGGTAAAGAGACAAACTACAAATCAGACCCCTCCTTCCCTTCTATCTCCAATGTTTCTTGTACCGCTCCTTGTATCCTCCTTCCAACTACTTCCCCCATCCTCCTCTGCTCCTGCCCCCTATCTCCTGTCATCCTTGTCTCATCCTCTTTTCTCCTTCTCCAGAACCCAGACATGCCTTTCATGTTCACACCCCGCCGAGGGATCATCCTCCTCCTCCTCTACTACACTGGCCTCCTTCCCTTTGTGCCGATCCCAGAGTCCGTGGTGGAAATCTACATGCCGTCCATTATAAACAGGTCAGTCTGAGCAATTTATAGTCCATTCTCTGGATAGGCGGTCTCCTGTCCATCGGCCAGTGTCTGCCATATGTAATCGCCAGCAATGGGCCGTCTCCTGTGCTCTGGCCACATTCAGACCCATGTGTTATATTACAAGTGATATACAGGTCTCATTTCTAACACTTGTCTCATCATAGGACGTACTTCCCCCACAATCAGCTCATGAGGAACCGGTTCCTGGTCCGCCTGCAGGACAAGTAAGTGCGCACTGTGTAATGCAGTAATTAACACCCTGACACACAGGGCCGGCCTTAGGGCTTTAGGCGCCCTGTGCGAGAAAGCTTTACAGCGCCCCTCAGTAACCACATCCCTCAGTGGCCACACCCTTTAGTGGCCACACCTCCAGTAACCACACCCATTTATCACCCATATTTTTGGTAAAATATAAAATACGGGGTCACGTCGGGTAAATAGACACCAAACATGTCATGCTTTAAAATTGCGCGCACCTGCAAAATCGCAAAAAATGACCATGCCCAAAATTGACCATAGGCGACGCTTTAAAAGCTTTTACCGCTCATCAGTTTAGTGTTATCAGTGATTGATAGCCCTACAATTATTGCTCTCATTCCGACGTTCGCGGCGATATGTAACATGTGCGGCGTAATGGGCGAAATCGTCGTTTTCACACGTATGCGCACCCGACGCCTGTTTGCATGTGTGTATGTATGGGGGGGACTTAAAAAATTTGTTTAAATTCTTTTTTATTTTTAACTTTACATTTTTGGGGGGAAAACTTTATTGCTATCACATAGGGGGGTTAGAAAACCCCCTTATGTGATAGCAAAATATGTGACAGGTCCTCTTTATGGAGACATCAGGGGTCTCCAAGACCCCTAATGTCACCTAGGACCCCCCTGAAGAAGCTGATGAAGCAAAGATCTGCTTCATCAGCTTCTC